ATTTTGGTTTCGATCATAGAGGGCTATTTTTAAATAATATTTCGATTTTATGTCTATATTAGCATTTTTTATCATTTATAATATCTAGATATGTTTTAAAATACAATTTAAAGCAATTTTGGTTTCGATCATAGTAGGCTTTTTTCAAAAAAATATCGATTTTAAATCGATATTAGCATTCTTTATCATTTATAATACCTAGATATGTTTTAAAATGCAATTTAAAACATTTTTGGTTTCGATCATAGTAAGCTTTTTTCAAAAAAATATCGATTTTAAATCGATATTAGCATTCTTTATCATTTATAATACCTAGATATGTTTTAAAATACAATTTAAAGCATTTTTGGTTTCGATCATAGTAGGCTATTTTCAACAAAAATATCGATTTTATGTCTATACTAGCATTCTTTATCATTTATAATACCTAGATATGTTTACAAATGCAATTAAAAGCATTTTTGGTTTCGATCATAGTAGGCTATTTTCAAAAAAAATATCGATTTTAAATCTATATTAGCATTCTTTATCATTTATAATACCTAGATATGTTTTAAAATACAATTTAAAGCATTTTAGGTTTCGATCATAAGAGGCTGTTTTAAAAAAAAATATCGATTTTAAATCTATATTAGCATTCTTTATCATTTATAATACCTAGATATGTTTTAAAATGCAGTTTAAAGCATTTTTGGTTTCGATCATAGTAGGCTATTTTCAAAAAAAAAATATCGATTTTATATCTATATTAGCATTCTTTATCATTTATAATACCTAGATATGTTTTAAAATACAATTTAAAGCATTTTTGGTTTCGATCATAGTAGGCTATTTTCAACAAAAATATCGATTTTATGTCTATACTAGCATTCTTTATCATTTATAATACCTAGATATGTTTACAAATGCAATTAAAAGCATTTTTGGTTTCGATCATAGTAGGCTATTTTCAAAAAAAATATCGATTTTATGTCTATACTAGCATTCTTTATCATTTATAATACCTAGATATGTTTACAAATGCAATTAAAAGCATTTTTGGTTTCGATCATAGTAGGCTATTTTCAAAAAAAATATCGATTTTAAATCTATATTAGCATTCTTTATCATTTATAATACCTAGATATGTTTTAAAATACAATTTAAAGCATTTTAGGTTTCGATCATAAGAGGCTGTTTTAAAAAAAAATATCGATTTTAAATCTATATTAGCATTCTTTATCATTTATAATACCTAGATATGTTTTAAAATGCAGTTTAAAGCATATTTGGATTCGATCATAGTAGGCTATTTTAAAAAAAAATTTCGATTTTATATCTATATTAGCATTCTTTATCATTTATAATACCTAGATATGTTTTAAAATACAATTTAAAGCATTTTTGATGTCGATCATAGTAGGCTATTTTCAAAAAAAAATATCGATTTTATATCTATATTAGCATTCTTTATCATTTATAATACCTAGATATGTTTTAAAATACAATTTAAAGCATTTTTGGTTTCGATCATAGTAGGCTTTTTTCAAAAAAAATATCGATTTTAAATCTATATTATCATTTTTTATCATTTATAATACCTAGATATGTTTTAAAATGCAATTTAAAGCATTTTTGGTTTCGATCATAGTAGGCTGTTTTCAAAAAAAATATCGATTTTAAATCTATATTATCATTTTTTATCATTTATAATACCTAGATATGTTTTAAAATGCAGTTTAAAGCATTTTTGGTTTCGATCATAGTAGGCTATTTTCAAAAAAAAAATATCGATTTTATATCTATATTAGCATTCTTTATCATTTATAATACCTAGATATGTTTTAAAATACAATTTAAAGCATTTTTGGTTTCGATCATAGTAGGCTATTTTCAACAAAAAAAATATCGATTTTATATCTATATTAGCATTCTTTATCATTTATAATACCTAGATATGTTTTAAAATGCAGTTTAAAGCATTTTTGGTTTCGATCATAGTAGGCTATTTTCAAAAAAAATATCGATTTTATGTCTATACTAGCATTCTTTATCATTTATAATACCTAGATATGTTTACAAATGCAATTAAAAGCATTTTTGGTTTCGATCATAGTAGGCTATTTTCAAAAAAAATATCGATTTTAAATCTATATTAGCATTCTTTATCATTTATAATACCTAGATATGTTTTAAAATACAATTTAAAGCATTTTAGGTTTCGATCATAAGAGGCTGTTTTAAAAAAAAATATCGATTTTAAATCTATATTAGCATTCTTTATCATTTATAATACCTAAGTATGTTTTAAAATACAATTTAAAGCATTTTTGGTTTCGATCATAGGAGGCTGTTTTCTAAAAAAAATCGATTTTAAATCTATATTAGCATTCTTTATCATTTATAATACCTAGATATGTTTTAAAATGCAGTTTAAAGCATATTTGGATTCGATCATAGTAGGCTATTTTAAAAAAAAATTTCGATTTTATATCTATATTAGCATTCTTTATCATTTATAATACCTAGATATGCTTTAAAATGCAATTTAAAGCATTTTTGGTTTCGATCATAGTAGCCTATTTTCAAAAAAATATCGATTTTAAATCTATATTAGCATTCTTTATCATTTATAATATCTAGATATGTTTTAAAATACAATTTAAAGCAATTTTGGTTTCGATCATAGAGGGCTATTTTTAAATAATATTTCGATTTTATGTCTATATTAGCATTTTTTATCATTTATAATATCTAGATATGTTTTAAAATACAATTTAAAGCAATTTTGGTTTCGATCATAGTAGGCTTTTTTCAAAAAAATATCGATTTTAAATCGATATTAGCATTCTTTATCATTTATAATACCTAGATATGTTTTAAAATGCAATTTAAAACATTTTTGGTTTCGATCATAGTAGGCTTTTTTCAAAAAAATATCGATTTTAAATCGATATTAGCATAATTTATCATTTATAATACCTAGATATGTTTTAAAATGCAGTTTAAAGCATTTTTGGTTTCGATCATAGTAGGCTATTTTCAAAAAAAAAATATCGATTTTATATCTATATTAGCATTCTTTATCATTTATAATACCTAGATATGTTTTAAAATACAATTTAAAGCATTTTTGGTTTCGATCATAAGAGGCTGTTTTAAAAAAAAATATCGATTTTATATCTATACTAGCATTCTTTATCATTTATAATACCTAGATATGTTTACAAATGCAATTAAAAGCATTTTTGGTTTCGATCATAGTAGGCTATTTTCAAAAAAAATATCGATTTTAAATCTATATTAGCATTCTTTATCATTTATAATACCTAGATATGTTTTAAAATACAATTTAAAGCATTTTTGGTTTCGATCATAAGAGGCTGTTTTAAAAAAAAATATCGATTTTATATCTATATTAGCATTCTTTATCATTTATAATATCTAGATATGTTTTAAAATACAATTTAAAGCAATTTTGGTTTCGATCATAGTAGGCTTTTTTCAAAAAAATATCGATTTTAAATCGATATTAGCATTCTTTATCATTTATAATACCTAGATATGCTTTAAAATGCAATTTAAAGCATTTTTGGTTTCGATCATAGTAGCCTATTTTCAAAAAAATATCGATTTTAAATCTATATTAGCATTCTTTATCATTTATAATACCTAGATATGTTTTAAAATACAATTTAAAGCATTTTAGGTTTCGATCATAAGAGGCTGTTTTAAAAAAAAATATCGATTTTATATCTATATTAGCATTCTTTATCATTTATAATATCTAGATATGTTTTAAAATACAATTTAAAGCAATTTTGGTTTCGATCATAGTAGGCTTTTTTCAAAAAAATATCGATTTTAAATCGATATTAGCATTCTTTATCATTTATAATACCTAGATATGCTTTAAAATGCAATTTAAAGCATTTTTGGTTTCGATCATAGTAGCCTATTTTCTAAAAAATATCGATTTTAAATCTATATTAGCATTCTTTATCATTTATAATATCTAGATATGTTTTAAAATACAATTTAAAGCAATTTTGGTTTCGATCATAGAGGGCTATTTTTAAATAATATTTCGATTTTATGTCTATATTAGCATTTTTTATCATTTATAATATCTAGATATCAGAGATCGAAGCCGATTTTTTCGGCTTAACTCAATTTTTGATTTTTTTGATAGAAAAAAGCCATTTTACACCCATTTTAAGTATTTAAATTGAACTTTACATGCTTTACTATGATTTTGTGAAATATTTTTTCAGCATGTAGCTATAGTGAGCTCAGAATTTCAAGTTAAAGAATGTTAAGCCGGAATTTTAAGCCGATCGGCTTAAAATCGGCTAAATTGAAATTCTGAGCTTACTATAGCTACATGCTGACAAAATATTACACAGAATCATAGTAAAGCATGTAAAGTTCAATTTAAATACTTGAAATGGGTGTGAAATGGCTTTTTTCTATCAAAAAAATCAAAAATTGAGTTAAGCCGAAAAAATCAGCTTCGATCTCTGATTTAATTATATTTTCCTGACTCCTTTACTTAAAATTCAGTTTGAGATGTTTTTAACTTTTCAATGTCTGTGAAAGGATACTTTTGATGGGAGTCTTAGCTGTAGGAGGGGGAGTGGACGAGCTGTGCTCCACTCCACTCCGCTCCATTGCACATTGCTTCGCTCCGCTCAGCAATGTTCCATTTCACTTCGTTGTGACATTGAAAAAATCTGTCAACATTTGTGTTCGATCTTTTCGAGAAATTTGACAACTATTTTGTTATCTAACATAAGTCAAGCGTGGAAGTTCGTGGCTTTCTACGTAAGTCGTGTTTTTTTGTGATTAAAAATATGAATCATCCTAGAGCATGCAATCAACACGATCATCATGCTTGCAGCATATCTTATTGGAAATTTCAAATTTACCGGGTTTTTGTGTTACCTGAATGCAATACTTTATCAACATTAAAAAAATAAGATATGAACTAACATGTTTAAAAACTGAGTCATGTAAACTTATGAATTTTGTAAAAAAAAATCTTTATTCCATCAGTAAATATATTTGGAGATTACAGCATTGCTTCCTTACACGTTATACACATTAACTGATTCAAAAAATAGATAGGTTTGTTTTTGTCAGATTTGTCAATAAATATTACAAAAATTGACTTTATAAGCTTTAAACAAACAATTAATACCATAAAAAATAAACAATTTTAGATGAATCAATTCTGTGATGGCTTTCTTAATCCGAGGATTCCTTGCTTTTCTTCATCCTTCCAATCGCTCATGTGGTTAAGACCCATCTTATAAGTTGTTTCTCCTTTTTCATATTTAGCATTATGCTCTTCGATTGTTGCAAGTGTTTTCTTGAATATCTCAAAGCGCTCGACATCTTCTGTTTCTTGATAGTTCTTGTTATGTTCAAGCTATTAAAAAATGAAATTTAATTAATGCCTATATGTCAGCACTTAAGTGTTATCAGCGAGCAAGTTCATATAAAGATCATCAAATTATACACATTTAATTGCATTGTCAATAATTTTAATAAATAATAAAGTTATAAACAAACTTCTAACAAAGGAATAAATTTGAAATAAATAGATGACTCACTTTGTATGCTTGCCACTTTTTTTCAGGCATTTCTTCTATAGCGTATGACGACGAGTAATGTAAGAATAAAAATGAAACTACAAGAAGTGGAAGAAAGGTTTTCATTAGTATGGCTGATTCGTGACTTAATAACTTTCGTGTAGATTGAAATATTTATGACTGAAATATTACTATACAGACCTTTTGTTTTTATACGAAATTAGGTACCTAAAAATCAAAGTATAGATGTCTTTTTTTTTGAAGTGGAGAAAACATCGATAGATGTCGCTGTGTCAGTTTTAACGGTTTTTTTTTAAAATTTCACATCAACTTTTTAAAGTTTCTTATTACCACGTTTTCAAATTAATATCTTTATTTTTCATTAATTTGGATGTATGGAAAATGGAAGTAAAACTGGCAAGTGCTAATAACAATTATTAATTAATGATGAATGATTTTTAAAAAAATTTCAAACAATAAATTGATTCGTTTACAACTTTGTACTTTCTGATACTTTAACTTCAAGAACTTTTTTCAATGTTTCATCACGTTTTTGTAGCTTCTTCCTTAATTCTTCCATTTCTTTAAGATGTGTAAATCTCATATTTTGCATTTGAATCTCTTTTTCTTGAACCATATTAAGGAGATTTCGATATGTTTCACTTCCAAATTCATATTGATCTGTATCCTTTTTCAAATTCTCGTGTGCATGCTTCTCATGATGTATGGCCTGTTTTAGTAACTTATTCTTTTCAATTAAGGTTCTAAATAGTTAAGGAATATAATTGAAGTCATAGGAAATATTAAAGTGATGTTCTATACTTACTCATTGCAAAGCTTTTGTTTCTTTAACAAATTTTCGAGCTCGACTGTTTTTTCTCTTTGTTGACTAAGGTCTCCAATTAGATGAGTTTTCTCCATTTCAAATTGATCTCTTAATTCCTCTAACAGTCTAAAATACGGAATAATTTTAAATTAAAAGTAAGATTAAAACTTAATCCTTCATACTTCTGACATTCCTTTACTGATTGTGTTACTGCTTCTGGATTCCTATGTAAATTTTTTAATGTAGAAATTTCTCCTTTTGATCTATTATAAGCTTCTTGAAGTCGCTCGATATCTAAATTGAGTGATTGAATTTTCTGTTCGTATGCCTTTAAAATTTCCACAAGTTTTTCTTTGGACAAATCTGCACGTTTAGCATGTATTGCTGCTTTATTCTTTAATATCTCACACTGACTCGTTAACATTTGTTTTTGCGAAATCCAGACTTTTGAATTGTTATACATGTCCTCGTTTATTTCATGAATTTTCTCATTTTCATCTAAAAGCTTTTTTAATTTAACTGAAAATTGATTTAGTTCCGTTTCATAGTTTTTAATAATTTCATTCTTTTCTTTAATTCTTTCCTCATAAGAGTTCATAAGTGGAGCTAGTAAATGCGAGTTTACAGTCCACAATGAAATGATTTCCTTCTCATTTTTATATTTTGTTGGTGGATTGAGGTCTTCTTTTTTCTCACTTAGTATTTCTTGATAATAGTCTAAATGCTTGTTAAGACGGAATATAAGAACTTTTAACATTTTCAAATCATTTTTCAGCTCTTCATTTTCCTTTGTAAGCATCTCGTGCTTTTCCTCTTGTTCATTATCTTTCGATTGCTCTACAAATTTCTCAATCAATGAATTATGATTTTTTATCAAGATTGATTTTTCATTCCTTAATGTGCCATTTTCTTCCAATAAATGGGTTATTTTCGAAACTAAATCTTGAATTTGATTGTCCTTTATGTTAACCTTTAGATACAATAAAATAGTTAAAGTTAAAATAATCTGTGATTTTTCTAAAGAAGTCATTCAAACCTGAAGTTATCAAATTATTAAATTTTAGGGATTGTGACCCATTTTTACTAACCCAATATCTTAATTCTTTATTGATTTGGTTTATTTTTTGATTGCTTTCCAAACTTTTACTTCTCTCTTTTTTCCTATCCTGAAGATGTGAGTTGAAATTTGCTGAATATTTTTCTTTTCGCGACGATCTATCCATTGCTTGGGTTAACTTTATCAGGTATAGATTGATAAATGTTTATTTGATGGAATTTCAATAACATTCTTAATTTTATAAAGCTTCAAATGTACTGCTTAAAACATTTGATTAACAACTCACAAAATCCATATTCTGTAAAAACTGTGGGATATTTAATTTGTAAATAATAAACAGTTTCTATAGCAACCAGTCATTAAAAGAAGGGTGACTAAATCAATCGTTTTCTTTAACAAAATACTTTGTATTTTATTCATTATTAATTCTTCAAAAAAAAATCCTAATAACATGTCTTATTTAATGTTCTCAAAAAATGATTCCAAATCATACTTCACGCAGAAGAGTTGTGATAAAAGTTTAGTTAAACAAGCTGTACATTTATTTTTAAGTTAGAGTTTTAGCCCAAAAAAAATTAATTTTTAACTTTTATAACTATAAAGTATTCAGTGAGAAGAATCTGGAATTTTATCTCCAGCTAGAATAGCTTTAATGTCTTCTGCATCAAGTGTTTCATACTTAAGTAAAGCTTCTGCAAGAGCTTTATGCTCTTTTGAATGTGTCTTCAATATGGCTTTTGCACGCTCATAACTGTCACTTAAAATTTTCTTAATTTCAAAATCAACCTGGAAGAGAAAAACAAACTCAATTTTAATGAATATAAACATTTTTAAATTATCCATAACTTACAGATTCAATTGTTGTCGAAGAAAGATTTTCAGAAGCTTGTAAACCTTTTGCACCTTCAATTGTTCGAAGACCAACTTTTTCTGACATTCCCCAGTCTTTGACCATGTGTGATGCAATCGAAGTTGCTTGCTTTAAGTCACTACTAGCACCGGATGTAATTTTGTCTGCTCCAAAAATTAGTTCTTCTGCAGCTCTTCCACCAAGCATAGTGTCAAGCATAGCCATTAGCTGTGTTTTAGTTATATGATACCTTTCCTTTTCAGGAATATACGCAGTATGGCCCAATGAAGGACCTCTCGGCATTATCGTTACTTTATGCAATGGATGTGATTCCTAATAAAAAGGAAAACATGATAAATTGTGATTTCCATAAGTAATTACACATTTGATAAACAACCTTTGTATAGTAAGCAACAATGGCATGACCACCTTCATGATAAGCAGTAATTTTGTTCGCTTCTTCATCTGGAATTCTAGCTTTTCGTTCGGGACCCATCAGAACTTTATCACGAGCATTTTCAAGATGACGCATTGATACCACTTCTGCCCCTTCAATTGCAGCTTTTAAAGCAGCTTGATTCACCATGTTTTCAATATCTGCTCCAGTGAAGCCAGTTGTACCTCTTGCCAGCATATCCACATTTATATCCTTACTCAAAATCTTTCCTAAATAATGTGTTATAATTTCTTTTCGTCCTGTTTTAAAAAGACATATGTTATTAACATATAAATTGATGAAAATCTTGTTGACAAAAACTAACCAGTAAAGTCCGGAGTAGGAACGTTAACTTCAACGTCAAATCTTTAAAAATAAAAAACAAAACTTAGGACACGCACTATGGGGCAAAATTGAGAAAAAAGTCCCTCATTTTTCAATTTTTCCCCATAGTCGACAGTCAAATTTGTGTTTTAAATAGCTTATTTCATACCTTCCTGGACGTAACAATGCTTGATCTAGGTCTTCTCTTCTGTTTGTGGCGCCAAGTACAATTACACCTTCATTTTGTTGAAAGCCATCCATTTCTGAAAGGAGCTGATTAATTGTTTGATTCGCATAAGGATGAAGTACTGAGTTGGTTCTTTTAGCTCCAACAGAATCGATTTCGTCAATAAATATAACGCATGGTGCACGATCTTTAGCCGCTTCTACATTTTTAAAATTAATAAGAAGAGAATCGTAAGAATTCATAGCATAATTAAAGTTATTTTATCAACTTACTAAATAAATCTCGAACTCTTCTCGCACCTTGCCCAACTAAAACTTCGTCAAATTCTGGTCCTGCTGCATGGAAAAATGGAACACCAGCCTCACCTGCTACAGCTCTAGCAAGAAGAGTTTTTCCAGTTCCAGGAGGTCCCTAGATAAATGATAATAGTCTGTTTTTATTGTAAAAGGAAGAAGACAACCAAAAACTTACCACCAATAGAACTCCTTTTGGTAATTTTCCTCCCAAGTTGCTAAACTTTTCAGGATTCTTCAAAAACTCGACCACTTCTTTGAGCTCTTGTTTGGCTTCGTCACATCCTTTGACATCATCAAAAGAAACAGAAATGTCTTCTGGATCGATCTCAACATTTGTTCCTAGTTGGATTCTAGTATCAAAATTATTTCTTGAAAATGTTCATCATCTCAATTCAAGTTTAATGCATTTATATATTAATTTTTTTTAAATATTTACCTAAACACTGATCCATTATTGGAAGTAAAAAGACTCGCCATGATCGCAGTAATAATAATGATCATTAAAAGTTGCTGAATTATCTGTTGAGTGTATAGATTTGGTTAAACATAAATTTTTGTCTCTTATTAATGAATAGCTGACCTTAAGATATTTCATAGCCTTTCCACCTTTTTCTGAACTCTCTGGATGGTTCGCAGCCAAATATCCTTCAGCAAACGCCAGTTTTAATTGATGTTTTTGTTCAGTTGTGAGATTTGTTTCAACTTGATTTAAGAGCTTTGCTAAAGATTCATGCTGAATTGTTTGCTTTGTCTGTGACGTTTGATTAATAGTATCATGTCGTTTAACACCGGAACTAGCTGGTTGATTATATGCTTCCTTTAGACGACTTAAGATTGTAGGATTTCGATGATTTTCGGCTATTAATGCTCTGTATGTTTTAAAGGATCTTGTTTGTAGATTAAATAAAGTGAAATCAAATCTATTTATTTTCTTGAGACTGCCATTCGTAAAATAGTTGCTTTGCTGTCTATCACTACAATACGAAATATTTTTATTTGTTTCAAATGATCCAGTTGAGACATATTGTGCTGGTTTCCAAGCGACAGACGAAGATTTATTCAAACTTTTATTAGACCTGCTTAAATCAACATTGAATGTAAAGTTCCTATTATATTCAATAGAATCCCTGAACTCTTTAGTGATGATTTCGAGTAAGTCACTTTTACAAGTGATATAAGTTGACTCTTTTATTTGATTATTTTTTCTTGGCTTATATTCACTCGCATTTTGTTGCTTGATGCATTTCTTATTAATCCTTGGCGTTAAGTTTGTTAGATGAAACAGAATCGCTTGCTAAATTAATGGAGATAAACATAATAAATATTTGTTAAATTTGTAAATAATAAAAAAAAATATATAAATTATTTATTACTTGATTGTGAAATGAATGATTCAAGTTTTGTACAGAAAACATATTTAACTTAATGTATATATGCTAAATGGTACTTTATAATTCCTTGAAGTTTGTTATTTGTTAATCTAAATTGAATTTAGAAAATGGAAATATTGAATAATTTTTTTTTTCGTAACCCGATTGTTTATAGTTTTATGCCCTTCTTTTAGCGCTTATTTTGAAAATTATAATTTGTCTGCCAGCCATTGAATGTGACCTAATCTCAATTTTTGCTCAACGGAAAAATTAAATTTGAAATTCACTAACACTATCTTACAAAACATCAAAAATTAAATTCTCAAATTTCTTAATTATTCAATCATTAATCTTTAATATTATGATTTGAATACGAAAAGTAGATGACACATTAGCTTCTCTCACTATTTTAAGAGTCTTTTCATCATTATTGAGTGATATTTTCGTGACTTTTCAAATTTCATTTCCAATTTTGTTTGTAAACAAACAAATTACAACCGAAAATATTCAGAAAGTTTCAAACCTTTATAATCTTTTTAACTTAATTATGTTCATTTAAGTATTTTTCCAGGACAATTTATAAAGTTTTTTGAAGCTTAACACAAGAGAACAAAATTTCTGATCTAAACTAGTGTATCGGGTAGAAACCCAATGCGGATTTATTCACACCGTACCATCAAAAGTTTTATGGATAGACCAAGATTTGCTCAGCATAAGTTAGAAGGTATAAAGCTAGCGAGTCAGATGAGCTTCGCTCAGTATATGTTTGAAGGTTTAAAGCTTAACGAACATTCTTTAAAAGTTTTTAAAAGTATGTTATCATCCAAAGTTTAATTTTTTAAAAATCACAGTGAACTTTTGTTTTAAAAAATTCGTAACAAAGGAAAGTTTTTTGCTTTTTCTGAAGCAACGTCTGTTCCTACCTTGCCAAAAAACAATACAGCTCTTCTTTAGAGCAGCACGGATCAAATGTAAAAACCTAGAAGTCACTACGATGTCTCGTTATTGAGATTTCTTGCTGATTAACTTGCATGCTTGTTTGCTTACAGAAAGCGTATTTTGCGATTTTCTCAGCAATGCTACAACCAATTTGAAATCTGTTTTTTGAAAATGATGTAAAATTTCAGGCACAACTTTTCTTCTAGAACATTTTACAAACAATTTTGCTTCGTTTTCTCATAAAATGCAAAAAAATGTTTTTAAATCTGATCTTGTATGTCAAAAGAAAAAAATTTTTGTTTCCAATGATATAAAATAACTTTGAAATTTGTCACTATAGTACAAATCATTGTTATAGTCGATATAGTCATTTTCTACATTTTTCTACTAAATCTAATTATATTCACACCGTTTTCACGTGTGAATGTTTTGTTTTTGTTCAGATCGAAATATCAGTTTTTTGGATTTTGTGAGTTAACGAAGCATTTTAGCTATAAATGTATAAAAAGAAAAGTTTGTGCCTGAAATTTTACATCTTATGCAAAAAACAGATTTCAAATTGGTTGCGGCGTTGCTGAGAAAATCGAAAAATACGCTTTCTGAAAGCAAGCAAGCAAGTTAATCGGCAGAAAATCTCAATAACGAGACATCGTAGAGACTTCTAGTTTTTTACATTTGATCCGTGCTACTCTATAGAAGAGCTGTATTGTTTTTAGGCAAGGTAGGAACAGCCGTTGCTTCAGAAAAAGCAAAATAATTTCCTTTTTTACGAATTTTTCAAATTAAAAGTTCATTGTGATTTTTTTTAAATTAAACTTTGGATGAAACAAATTTTTTTGAGCAAAGAACCAAGTAGGAAATACATTTTCAATTTTGGACTAGGGGCGACCCTAGTCAAAATCAATTTTGTCACTTTTTTCTTCGAGGGTTTATCCAAATGGATTGAAACTTTGCATAAATATTCTAGTGCTTAAAACAAATACAAATAAAACATCTTAAAATTTTTTTGAGCAAAGAACCAGAAGGAAATACATTTTCAATTTTGGACTAGGGGCGACCCTAGTCAAAATCAATTTTCTCACTTTTTTCTTCGAGGGTTTATCCAAATAGATTGAAACTTTGCATAAATATTCAAGAGCTCAAAACAAATACAAATAAAACATCCTAAAATTTTTTGAGCAAAGAACCAAGTAGGAAAAACATTTTCAATTTTGGACTAGGGGCGACCCTAGTCAAAATCAATTTTGTCACTTTTTTCTTCGAGGGTTTATACAAATGGATTGAAACTTTGCGTAAATATTCTAGTGCTTCAAACAAATACAAAAAAACATATTAAATTTTTTTTTGAGCAAAGAACCAAGTAGGAAATACATTTTCAATTTTAGACTAGGGGCGACCCTAGTCAAAATCAATTTTCTCACTTTTTTCTTCGAAGGTTTATACAAATGGATTGAAACTTTGCATAAATATTCTAGTGCTTAAAACAAATACAAATAAAACATCTTAAATTTTTTTGAGCAAAGAACCAAGTAGGAAATACATTTTCAATTTTGGACTAGGGGCGACCCTAGTCAAAATCAATTTTCTCACTTTTTTCTTCGAGGGTTTATCCAAATGGATTGAAACTTTGCATAAATATTCTAGTGCTTTTAATAAGTACAAATAAAACATCCTTACTTTTTTTTGAGCAAAGAACCAAGTAGGAAATACATTTTCAATTTTAGACTAGGGGCGACCCTAGTCAAAATCAATTTTCTCACTTTTTTCTTCGAGGGTTTATCCAAATGGATTGAAATTTTGCATAAATATTCTTGTGCTTAAAACAAATACAAATAAAACACCTTAAAATTTTTTTGGGCAAAGAACCAAGTAGGAAATATATTTTCAATTTTGGACTAGGGGCGACCCTAGTCAAAATCAATTTTCTCACTTTTTTCTTCGAGGGTTTATCCAAATGGATTGAAACTTTGCATAAATATTCTAGTGCTTTAAATAAGTACAAATAAAACATCCTTACTTTTTTTTGAGCAAAGAACCAAGTAGGAAATACATTTTCAATTTTGGACTAGGGGCGACCCTAGTCAAAATCAATTTTGTCACCTTTTTCTTCGAGGGTTTATCCAAATGGATTGAAACTTTACATAAATATTCTTGTGCTTAAAACAAATACAAATAAAACATCTTAAAATTTTTTTTAGCAAAGAACCAAGAAGGAAATACTAGGGACGACCCTAGTCCAATACAATTTTCTCAATTTTTTCTTCGAAAGTTTATCCAAATGGATTGAAAGTTTGCATAAATATTCTGGTGCTTAAAACAAATACAAATAAAACATCCTAAAATTTTTTGGAGCAAAGAACCAAGTAGGAAATACATTTTCAATTATGAACTTGAGACAGGTCTAGTAAAAATCTCGTTTTTCATTTATTTTTTCGAAGGTTTATCCAAATGGTTTGAAACTTTGCATAAATATTCTAGTGCTTAAAACAAATACAAATAAAACATTTTAAATTTTTTTGAGCAAAGAACCAAGAAGGAAATATATTTTCAATTTTGGACTAGGGGCGACCCTACTCAAAATCAATTTTCTCACTTTTTTCTTCGAGGGTTTATACAAATGGATTGAAACTTTGCATAAATATTCTAGTGCTTAAAACAAATACAAATAAAACATTTTAAATTTTTTTGAGCAAAGAACCAAGAAGGAAATATATTTTCAATTTTGGACTAGGGGCGACCCTAGTCAAAATCAATTTTCTCACTTTTTTCTTCGAGGGTTTATACAAATGGATTGAAACTTTGCATAAATATTGTAGTGCTTTAAACAAATACAAATAGAACATCCTAAAAATTTTTTGAGCAAAGAACCAAGTAGAAAATACATTTTCAATTTTGCACTAGGGGCGACCCTAGTCCAAAACAATTTTCTCAATTTTTTCTTCGAAGGTTTATCCAAATGGTTTGAAACTTTGCATAAATATTCTAGTGCTTTAAACAAAAGCAAATAAAACATCTTAAAATTTTTGAGCAAAGAACCAAGTAGGAAATACATTTTCAATTTTGGACTAGGGGCGACCCTAGTCAAAATCAATTTTGTCACTTTTTTCTTCGAGGGTTTATACAAATGGATTGAAACTTTGCATAAATATTCTAGTGCTTATAACAAAAATTAAAAAAAAAAATATTAAAATTTTTTGAGCAAAGAACCAAGTAGGAAATACATTTTCAATTTTAGACTAGGGGCGACCCTAGTCAAAATCAATTTTCTCACTTTTTTCTTCGAAGGTTTATACAAATGGATTGAAACTTTGCATAAATATTCTAGTGCTTAAAACAAATACAAATAAAACATCTTAAATTTTTTTGAGCAAAGAACCAAGTAGGAAATACATTTTCAATTTTGGACTAGGGGCGACCCTAGTCAAAATCAATTTTCTCACTTTTTTCTTCGAGGGTTTATCCAAATGGATTGAAACTTTGCATAAATATTCTAGTGCTTTTAATAAGTACAAATAAAACATCCTTACTTTTTTTTGAGCAAAGAACCAAGTAGGAAATACATTTTCAATTTTAGACTAGGGGCGACCCTAGTCAAAATCAATTTTCTCACTTTTTTCTTCGAGGGTTTATCCAAATGGATTGAAATTTTGCATAAATATTCTTGTGCTTAAAACAAATACAAATAAAACACCTTAAAATTTTTTTGGGCAAAGAACCAAGTAGGAAATATATTTTCAATTTTGGACTAGGGGCGACCCTAGTCAAAATCAATTTTCTCACTTTTTTCTTCGAGGGTTTATCCAAATGGATTGAAACTTTGCATAAATATTCTAGTGCTTTAAATAAGTACAAATAAAACATCCTTACTTTTTTTTGAGCAAAGAACCAAGTAGGAAATACATTTTCAATTTTGGACTAGGGGCGACCCTAGTCAAAATCAATTTTGTCACCTTTTTCTTCGAGGGTTTATCCAAATGGATTGAAACTTTACATAAATATTCTTGTGCTTAAAACAAATACAAATAAAACATCTTAAAATTTTTTTTAGCAAAGAACCAAGAAGGAAATACTAGGGACGACCCTAGTCCAATACAATTTTCTCAATTTTTTCTTCGAAAGTTTATCCAAATGGATTGAAAGTTTGCATAAATATTCTGGTGCTTAAAACAAATACAAATAAAACATCCTAAAATTTTTTGGAGCAAAGAACCAAGTAGGAAATACATTTTCAATTATGAACTTGGGACAGGTCTAGTAAAAATCTCGTTTTTCATTTATTTTTTCGAAGGTTTATCCAAATGGTTTGAAACTTTGCATAAATATTCTAGTGCTTAAAACAAATACAAATAAAACATTTTAAATTTTTTTGAGCAAAGAACCAAGAAGGAAATATATTTTCAATTTTGGACTAGGGGCGACCCTAGTCAAAATCAATTTTCTCACTTTTTTCTTCGAGGGTTTATACAAATGGATTGAAACTTTGCATAAATATTCTAGTGCTTAAAACAAATACAAATAAAACATTTTAAATTTTTTTGAGCAAAGAACCAAGAAGGAAATATATTTTCAATTTTGGACTAGGGGCGACCCTAGTCAAAATCAATTTTCTCACTTTTTTCTTCGAGGGTTTATACAAATGGATTGAAACTTTGCATAAATATTCTAGTGCTTAAAACAAATACAAATAAAACATTTTAAATTTTTTTGAGCAAAGAACCAAGAAGGAAATATATTTTCAATTTTGGACTAGGGGCGACCCTAGTCAAAATCAATTTTCTCACTTTTTTCTTCGAGGGTTTATACAAATGGATTGAAACTTTGCATAAATATTCTAGTGCTTAAAACAAATACAAATAAAACATTTTAAATTTTTTTGAGCAAAGAACCAAGAAGGAAATATATTTTCAATTTTGGACTAGGGGCGACCCTAGTCAAAATCAATTTTCTCACTTTTTTCTTCGAGGGTTTATACAAATGGATTGAAACTTTGCATAAATATTCTAGTGCTTAAAACAAATACAAATAAAACATTTTAAATTTTTTTGAGCAAAGAACCAAGAAGGAAATATATTTTCAATTTTGGACTAGGGGCGACCCTAGTCAAAATCAATTTTCTCACTTTTTTCTTCGAGGGTTTATACAAATGGATTGAAACTTTGCATAAATATTCTAGTGCTTAAAACAAATACAAATAAAACATTTTAAATTTTTTTGAGCAAAGAACCAAGAAGGAAATATATTTTCAATTTTGGACTAGGGGCGACCCTAGTCAAAATCAATTTTCTCACTTTTTTCTTCGAGGGTTTATCCAAATGGATTGAAACTTTGCATAAATATTTTAGTGCTTAAAAAAAATACAAAAAAAAAAACATCGTAAAATTTTTTGGAGCAAAGAACCAAGTAGGAAATACATTTTCAATTATGAACTTGGGACAGGTCTAGTCAAAATCTCGTTTTTCATTTTTTTTTTTCGAAGGTTTATCCAAATGGTTTGAAACTTTGCATAAATATTTTAGTGTTTTAAACAAATACAAATAAAACATCCTAAATTTTTTTGAGCAAAGAACCAAGTAGGAAATACATTTTCAATTTTAGACTAGGGGCGACCCTAGTCAAAATCAATTTTCTCACTTTTTTCTTCGAGGGTTTATCCAAATGGATTGAAACTTTGCATAATTATTCTAGTGCTTAAAAAAAATACAAATAAAACATCCTAAATTTTTTTGAGCAAAGAACCAAGTAGGAAATACATTTTCAATTTTAGACTAGGGGCGACCCTAGTCAAAATCAATTTTCTCACTTTTTTCTTCGAGGGTTTATCCAAATGGATTGAAACTTTGCATAATTATTCTAGTGCTTAAAAAAAAATACAAATAAAACATCCTAAATTTTTTTGAGCAAAGAACCAAGTAGGAAATACATTTTCAATTATGAACTTGGGACAGGTTTAGTCAAAATCTAGTTTTTCACTTTTTTTCTTCGAAGGTTTATCCAATTACAGTGAAACTTTGAGTGAGTATACTAATATTTATTCAAAACAGTTTTAAATATCTAAAAGAAGAAATGTATTCTATATGTCGTCAGACCCAAATTTTATAAATTTGGTTGTACATTCAAAAACAACGTGACTTAAAATTTTGTCCAAAAAAATGATTTTTATTAATTCAGACCTGAGGATTAGAATGCTCATACAAAAATTTACTGTGTTTGGATTTATCCCAAAAACAAATTCTTTATCTTAAAACACTTGACGAAATAGCGACATAATTCAGGATTAATTACTTTTTATTAATATTTTAACATTTACGAGAAAATGTGGTTCAAATAAGTGTGAAGTATGACCGAGATTTGGACCAAAATCAGCTATACTGGTTCATAGTGTTCCCGAGGGTGACAAACTTCAAACTAAGTGTTTTTGTAGCTGACATAATTATAACATAAATTAGGTATAACTTTTGAACTGTGTCGATATGGGTCTCGGCCGTACTTCATGCCCACCCTTCAAACTTATGCTGAGCAAATCTTGGTCTATCCATAAGACTTTTGATGGTACGGTGTGAATATATCCGCATTGGGTTTCTATCCGATACACTAGTTTTAATAAAATACGCTATTAACCACTTTTTCCCATTAATGTTATTACCGTTTTTTTTGAATAATTATAAGCCGTTTGAAACTTTAAAAATATAAATAAAAAATATTAAAAAGTCAAGAGAAATTTTTAATATATTTTTTAAAAAAAATTTTTTATTTCAAGCCTGCATTTCTTTGCATTTAGTTTTGTTCATTAAGCACATTAAAATGGTTGTAACAAAACTCATCCAGATTACCAATCTATCGGTTAGACATTATTCGACTCCATCCTTTCCATTAAAAGGCATTCGAATATTAGACTTATCAAGAATCATTGCTGGACCTTATTGTGTAATATAATTAATTAAATAATATTTTGCGATAAGAATCATACTTATAATTATTCGCAGTCTATGGTTCTAAGTGACTTAGGAGCAGAAGTCATAAAAGTCGAAAAACCATTTAGTGGAGATGAATCTCGAAAATGGGGACCACCGTTCTTGAAAAATTCATCAGATTCAGTATATTTCATGGCATGCAATCGTAATAAACTGTCAATATGTGTAGATTTAAAAAAAGGCAAAGATGTCTTGTACGACTTAGCCAAGAAGAGCGATGTCATTTTAGAAAATTATTTGCCTGGAAAGTTAGATAAAATTAGCCTTGGATATGAAGTCATTAAGAAAATAAACCCATCAATCATTTACTGCTCAATTACAGGATTTGGATCAAAAGGTTAAAAAAATTAATATTTCTAAATGAGACTAAACCTAAATACCTATATATAAATTGTTTATTTTCAAAAGGTCCATATCACAATAGGGGTGGATATGATGTCATAGCTGCATCAATGGGAGGTCTTATTAATATTACTGGAGACCAAAACTCTCCATCTAAAGTTGGCGTTGCTATTACTGATATATGCACGGGTTTATATGCTCATGGTGCAATTTTGGCAGCATTATATCATCGTAACAATACAGGAAGTGGACAAAAAATTGAAGTCGATTTATTTAGTACACAAATTGCATGCTTAATTAATATTGCGTCAAATTACCTCAATGCATCTATTGAAGGAACTCGATATGGTACAGAACATGCTTCAATTGTTCCGTATGCATCTTTTAAAACAAAGGATGGATTTTTTACTATAGGAACTGGATCTGATTCTCAATTCACTGAACTTTGTGGTTGCTTACATGTCGAGCATTTAGCTAAAGATGAGAAATTTGTCTCCAATTCAGATAGAGTGAAAAACCGTAACGAATTGTCAAAAATCTTAAAGGATATTTTCATAAAGGAAGCAAATGATCATTGGTCAAAAACATTTAAAAATGCTTCATTTCCGTTTGGTCCAGTAAATAACATGAAAAGTGTTTTTGATGATGATCATACAAAACAAATTGATATTGTCAAAACTTTACAGCATAAGGAAGCTGGAGATGTACGTGTTGTAGGTCCTAATGTTGTTTATAGCAATTCCAGAAATGAGGCTTATCTTGCTCCTCCAGTATTGGGTCAACATACATTTGAAATTTTAAAAAATGTGTTGAATTATGATGATGATAAAATTAAGACCCTTCAATCAAAAAAAATTATTCAATAAATATTCCGAGTAAGTTTCATGTGCCAAGATTACGATAGATGAATAAAATTTAACTATGCATTTATTTTTATTACTACTTACTTTAAGTTTTTGCAATAGTTTTTTTGTAATAGTTTTAAATCCTTTTCGACTTTTTCTGACCCATACTGACCAATTGATTTGAATTTTATATCGCAAGAACGTTATTTTTAAGAACAATTAAATATTGTAAAAATCTATGAATATGCTTAACAATTAATCTGAGACATTTATTAAAGTATTGGCACAAAAACATTGAAACTAATCCAAAAAGATTTTCCCTTTCAATAATTTTACAAATCGATATTATGCGTCTAGCGAGTCCTTAATTCAACGACATCGAGCATCTTTTCATATTTCATTTGCTGTTGCAAAAAAGCGTAAATTTAAGGCGCCACGATGACGCTTAAATATCAATTTTCTGGAAGATGCTTCAACCCCCCTTTGCATATATACACAAAAATTCTGCTATGTAGTCGTTGAAGGCGACGAACTTTTCCGCAATAACATTGTTGAAATTTAGAAATGACACTGAAAATGAAACGTTTTCATAAAGATTGACCTCATTTTACAAGAAATTGATGCCAAGAATTTTTTTTGCTATCTACGTCGAATTGTAAATGGAGACGAAATTATCTGTCGGTGGATTATTCCTAGCACTATGAGTCATTAGTGAACGGAAGAAGCTCGATTGTAGGTTTTCATCATTTCTTTTATAGGACACGAAAAATATGATGAATAAAGAATAGATTACACACGCTCATATGTATGGAGAGACACACACACACACACTTAATTGGAACATAAGAAGACAAATTTACAAAAAGATTATTTTTCAAAACAAACAAATAATGAAAGGTCTTTGGCAATCGATAATCTGTTGCAGATATATTTGTGGACTAATATTGATAGTGAGAAATGAGCCAAAAATTTAATGATTGCATGTGTAAATCAAAGGAATGAGGTGACTATAAATCTTTAGATCAGCATGACGAATGATTTCAACCTATTGTTAGACTACTAAAATCGAAGTTGTCATTTGCAATTGAATGATTTTAAGCTCTAAAGACAATTCTTGACCAAGCTAATTAAGGAATATGAATTACAAAATTTCGAGATAAGGAATTGAAATTGGACACATGCGGTTTTGAATTGTGCAATTATAAAGCCACATATCAAATGTAGAGATTATTGAATACATGCGAGAAATTTTTTTTTGAACAAATTTGATTAATTTCAATATTTATCCTATAGATTCTCATAATGAGGATTAGTCTTAGGTAATCTTAAAAAATTAAAAGCAATGCTTTAGAATTGCATTTAATTAATTTGTTTTTAACTCCTCATTAATACACAAGCACCTAACATTACGAGATTTATATTCATAGGAAATTGACAGCCTTTATATTAAACATAACATTTCATTTCCTTTCAATTATTTTTAATAGAGGGTAGAACAGGATTTTTGGTTCTCTCACTTGTAAAAAATGTCTTGAACGCCTCAAAAATTAAAACAACACGGAAAAATTTTGTGTATGACCAGCGTGACCTAAAAAATTCGATAACGTCTAAATCCATATCAAATTTCATTATTAACATGCTGTACGTACAAACACATAAATTTCCAAGAATGTGCGACAGTAACTACGATATAATGTATATTGTATTAGCAAGTCGAAATTGAAGGAATGAATTGAGCAACATTAACCATAGAATGTAAACAAAACAAGGGAGGTTCATAAACGAGTGACAGAGAGAAAATAATGGACACGCGCCGAGTGAAATAGAAAATATTGTCGCCCTTACTTCATACGATTTTTTGACAGTCTTTCCAACAGAGTGGTGTGCTGTTCATCGTTTGTCTATCATAGCCAAACATATTTTTCAGAATATGAGATGAATGTCAGGTCATGTCATTTTTCAGATTTGTCGAATTATGAAGGAATCCTAAAGAACGGGTTTGCTAAAGCAATTAAGGGTCAAGATATGCAAGTTCTTAATTCAATCAATTCTGTAATATATCACATTCGCAGTAGCACTTAAAAATGCGCTTTTACTACCTACAACTGAAGAACGTTTAGAACGTTTATTTAATTTATTCATAGCATGCAGATAATCGTTGTGAGTGAGAACTATTCCTTAAATAATAGGAAGTCAAAGCGAAACATAAACTTTTCTTCGTTGTGGGCAAAAAAAGAAGAAAATGAAAGCAAAACTTTGAAAAGAAAAATAAGGAAAAAAGTTTTTTAAAATTGTGGTAGAATTTTCCACTCAATGAATATTTTCATGCTTCAATATTTCGACATAAGTATTCACATTAACATACTTTAATGAAAGATGTAGTTATGGTTGATAGCTACAATGCAGTAACTACCACGGTTGCTGTTTGTTTCATTTTTCTGTTGTTGTATGCAAAAGCAGTGCCACTATGGGCCAGAAATCGAAAACTTTTCCGAAAATTATTTTTTTGGTGTAAATAATAGCTCTTTCATTCTCATTCATGAAAATACTTAGAAAAGTGGCCAATTCAGCTTAAGTTCCGAGTTGTGGCTTTTCAAATTTTTGATTAAGAGCATTTTCTCGCCCCACAAAAATTGTCACTACTTTTCATTAGATTGATGAAACTCTTTCAATTTTTTTTTATTTGGTAGCTTAAAATAAGAGCTTTATAAAGATACTATAAAGTTTTAGTAGAGTTTTGCTGATGAAATTAAGTCTTTTCTTCAAAAAAACTGCAATTTTTTGACATAAATTCCCATAACTTTTCAGGATAGCCCAAAGGAGTGGATTTTTTTATATGCTTTGAAAGCTCTTTGGATATACTATCAGAATATACAATCAGCTTGAGTTCGGTTACTGAGACAATCTCGAGCAATTTGACTTTGAAGTGTGACCAGAAAGACATTTCAAAACATAAAAATTGAAAATAAATTTTGTACGTTTTTCAAAATTTTAGTTTTTTGCTTTAAATCAATAGATCTCATTAATGCGCATATTTTGAGTATAAATATGTCATAGTTTTAACAATTTTTATACTCAAATTTCAACAAAATCATTTTTATATATTTTTTCAACAAATTTTACTTATTTTTCAATTATTTCAAATCAAAACTTATTTTAAATCTTCTGATTTTGATATTTTTTGAAATTTCTATGTTTTTATGTTAAAATGTCACTCCTAGAGCAAAAAAAATTTTATTTACTTTAAGGTAATTTTTTTATAATTTTTTGCAAATTACACTCATTTTTCTTATCTTTTTTTATCAAATTTTATTTTATAATAATTCTAAATATTGAAATTTAATGTAATATGCATAAAAATACTCTTAAATATTTAAAGATCATATTTTATCCAATTAACGTAGGAATAAAGCTGGAATGAGCAAAGCTTTGATATGTTGCTTTAATTTGAAGGTAATTCTCCTTTCGATTCAGAACATTTAAGCATCCAATCAACTATTTTTAATAAATTTCGGTATACATACTTATTTCCATGCAATTGTAAAGCATAAACTATCACCTGAAACTCGTTTTTGCTGACCAAGTCACTATTTCAGAGATGTCTTATTTTATTGCCTTCCAGGTCCGGAAGTTGAAAGCTCAATATTTATAATCTGACTGGACTCACTAATGGTGACTGGAATTTACCAGTATGAAATATATAAAGTACATATACAAAAGTTTGAAAAGTTTGCATCGTTTCGAAATTTATCAAAACTAAATGATGGTTCTTGAATCTATTTTTGTCTATGTATAAGGATTTAAGTGCCTCGCTTGTCAAATAAGTAAGGCGATTGGCTCAAATTTGGTATGGCAACTCGAAGGTCGTCGGTTCCAATCCAGCCATTTCCAAATTTGTTCTTTTTCAGAAGTTTAGATTCTTCGACTGCTTAATGTACGAGATCAAGCCATGAGATATTTGGCAACGTTGGATTAAGGAAAGCATGAGGAACTTGTACATGTGTAGCGGGAGAAATAGGAACGAGAGCTACAAGATTATCTTAAAATGATAAATTGTCAGAACGGATCTGAAATGTATCACGTTGCGCCCACAGATCAGTAAAAAAAGTATATGCAAAGACAAAAATTGGAAAAATCAATGAAATATGGTAAAAAAAACTAAAAGGAACCATTCGACATTGGATAAAAATTGTCACAATAAATTTGATAGATTGGAAAATGGTTGATAGCGTTTTCTTTTTTAAAAACTATTTTCATTATAGCTCCTTAATTTTAATAATTCGTGGTGATAGTTTATGCTTTAAAATTGCATGGAAATAATGTATACCGAAATTTATTAAAAATAGTTGATTGGATGCTTAAATGTTCTGAATCGAAAGGAGAATTACCTTCAAATTAAAGCAACATATCAAAGCCTTGCTCATTCCAGCTTTATTCCTACGTTAATTGGATAAAATATGATCTTTAAATATTTAAGAGTATTTTTATGCATATTACATTAAATTTCAATATTTAGAATTATTATAAAATAAAATTTGATAAAAAAAGATAAGAAAAATTAGTGTAATTTGCAAAAAATTATAAAAAAAATTACCTTAAAGTAAATAAAATTTTATGAATTGTTGCTCTAGGAGTGACATTTTAACATAAAAACATAGAAATTTCAAAAAATATCAAAATCAGAAGATTTAAAATAAGTTTTGATTTGAAATAATTGAAAAATAAGTAAAATTTGTTGAAAAAATATATAAAAATGATTTTGTTGAAATTTGAGTATAAAAATTGTTAAAACTATGACATATTTATACTCAAAATATGCGCATTGATGAGATCTATTGATTTAAAGCAAAAAACTAAAATTTTGAAAAACGTACAAAATTTATTTTCAATTTTTATGTTTTGAAATGTATTTCTGGTCACACTTCAAAGTCAAATTGCTCGAGATTGTCTCAGTAACCAAACTCAAGCTGATTGTATATTCTGATAGTATATCCAAAGAGCTTTCAAAGCATATAAAAAAAATCCACTCCTTTGGGCTACCCTGAAAAGTTATGGGAATTTATGTCAAAAAATTGCAGTTTTTTTAAAGAAAAGGCTTAATTTCATCAGCAAAACTCTACTAAAACTTTATAGTATCTTTATAAAGCTCTTATTTTAAGCTACCAAATAAAAAAAAATTGAAAGAGTTTCATCAATCTAATGAAAAGTAGTGACAATTTTTGTGGGGCGAGAAAATGCTCTTAATCAAAAATTTGAAAAGCCATAACTCGGAACTTAGGCTGAATTGGCCACTTTTGTAAGTATTTTCATAAATGGGAATGAAAGAGCTATCATTTAGACCAAAAAAATAATTTTCGGAAAAGTTTTCGATTTCTGGCCCATACTGCAGTGAGTCGAAAAAAAATGTTTTTAAAATTAAACGAAAACTTTCATGCCACCCCTTCTGAGTTTTATGTTCCCTCGTTCTCTCTCACTTCAATTAAAATTAAAAGTTTTTTTTGCGCTCTATCAATTGCATCGATTTTGTTTAACAAAAAAATTATTAAAATTATTTTGTTGTGAATGTGGGGGTTGGGATAGAAAATTATTTTGTTTAATGTCAAATTCACCATTGGTTTCATGAACAATAAAGTGAGGCAGCATTTAAGTTTAGTAGTTTAGACAAACTTCCACTGTTTCTTTTATTTGCTTAACACGGTATGAATAATTTCATTTTTTTGACGTTGCATTATGCATTGAATTCACTTACTTGAAGTTTGCCTTTATTCGGAAGACTTTTAAATGGAAAACAAGTTTTCTTAATCAGAAGATTGAAGTGCCCTAAAAAGTTCCTCTAATGTGGTTCTCAATAAAAAGTCTACCCCAACATTCAGCACATAAATCAAACGCGATTTCAAATTTTCTAATAACTTCACATTCGCGTACCTTCATACCTCACGTGCACACTTGTATGTTAATAAAAAAATTCCTTGTTTAAAAAAGAAAATCAAGTGCAAGAGAGGTTTTTATGCCTTAACAAAAAGTTGCGTGTCTGAAGAGCTTCAGGAAAAGTGCTCAACATGAATATAAATAGCTATTAAAATTGCAGAGGTAAAAAGGAAGTTAAAAGAAAGAAACGAAAACGAATGTTACCTTTGATTTCTATGTTGACCTTGATCGTGCCAATCTCCTTTCCTTATTTCCAAATCAAAATGGAATAAAAATGAGTTTTGTAACAGGTGATTTAGTTTTCTTTTAATGAGAACTTTGGCTTTATATTAATGTATTGTATCATGTTGTTTTTATTACTAGGCTTGATTAAGGTACTCTTTCCGTTGAGATTAGAATACATTGTTGATGGTACTGTTCATTCAGAGACCAGAAATATTATTTTGCGATATATATTTAAATTAAAAGAAAATGTATTATTTTGGAATTTTAAATTTAATGGAAACTCAACTATGGAGTGCTCCTTTTTTTGTAACAAAAAGGTACAGAAAAAAAAAACTCAATAAATCAATAACTAAAACATGTTGCACTTTCAAGATAAAATCGTATCCTGAGAAGGATTTTATTATTTTTTCTCTTTGATCTATCAATAAAGAATTCAGTTTTTTCAATATCAGAGACATTTTTTAATAACTTTTATAAAAGAAATTCTCAGAGGATCATACGTTTATTTCGTCTCAAAAAAGGCACAAAATTTTGTGTTGCAGCGATGTAAAGATTTGAAAAAATTGTACATAATAATATATATGATTCCTTATGAAAAAGGCCTATAATGAATATTTAAAAACTGTTTATACATCCTAAAGTTCTATTTTACATCATTATTATTAAAAATAGATTCGTAACTCAAACCGGTAATAAACTTCTGATGAACGATGATTGTGTGCAATGATCAAAGTTGCAAAAAGCTTTAATGATTCTAAGCACAAAAAAAATATTAAAAAATAACTTAAACTTACTGAAGCAAAAGTTATCTCTTGTTTTTTTTTTCTTCTTATTAAATATCATTATTCGTGAGGATGATATAATCTTTAATAAAGATAATTAATTTCTTTGGCGCTGAAAAATCACACGATATCCATAAAATAAAAGTCAGAATAAATGAAACTTTATTGTTGAGAAGAGTTACACAAAGAGAATCAGATGTCGTACAACAATTTAATGTCTGAAGAAGAAGAAAAAAGCAAGAGAAAATTTAGTATGCAGCGACTGCACGCACAACATTTAACAGAATGTTTCAACTTTCAACGTCATTTCATCAACAAACAAGAAAATCATGTTTCAGTTTCCAAAAGAAACTCAGAACACCAAAAATTATATACACAGCACACAAGCGATGACTCAATTTTTTTCACTGTGTTAGCTTTGTCTTTTATTTCTTTCTTCCCCATACTCTACTCAACACAGCATTCCAATATTAGTCGCGCGCTGTCTCTTGAATAGTAAACACGCAAAACATCAAGAATCAAAAGAGCTTTAATTTTTTAACAAACTATTTTGTGTTATTTTTTGCATGTGTGCTGCTTAAATTTTTAAAACGAAAATTTACAATTGTGTTTTATAAGAAGGGTCCCACAAAATTATCATTGAAATATCAGTGAGAGTGGAAAATAAAAAAGAGATTTTTTTTTTCTAGTGACGATGCGATCACTTCTGATTTTAGCTGTGGTTCTGCCACAAATAGTTTTTTGTGAAAATGAAAATGTTAATTTAAATGCGAATTCAAATAATGATAATGAGAAATTAACTCAAGGTAGTCATTTGACGCCGGCACAGAGTCTATACTGTAATGATTTAAATCCCCAAATGCATTTGGATTTTAATATGGTAAAATAGTTATTTTTTTAAATATGTTAATTGAGATGACTCATTAATAACAAAATATATTGAATGAGAGTGACATTTGACTTTTGCATCCGTTAATTGAAAAATAAATAAACATTTGTGGATATGATATTCAGTGACATTTATTTTGCACATTTTAGTTTTTATTCTGGACTACGATATTTGTTTTATGTCCAAACATGTTGTCGAAAATACTAAATAGAGATAATTTTCATATAAAAATATTTATACAATTATATCGTGCCATAGTTAAGTCCTTTTGAATTTTATTTGATGATATATTTTTAATTAAAAGTTTATTTAACCAAATTTTGTGAATAAAGTGAAAATGAAACTGACAATGTGATTTAATGAACGTAAGGGAGGTCTTTTAAGTCAGAATAAATTTTACTCAAGAATTTCATTTGTTTCAAACATTTGCAGTGAAGATAAATAATATTCTTCATATACTATGTTGGAGACAGAGTGACTGCAAAAAGAATATTTATTTTATTGATTTTCTTTACACAAAACCCAAATTATAGTAACAAGCAGGAAAAAAGTAGATTTACCCAGACAAGTTGAGGAAATATATTAAGTTTATTCATTAGCATTTAATTTTATTGTGATCCTCAAGGGATGACATTAGTCAAATCATTTAAAATAAAACAGTTTTGCTAATTCGAGTAGAGTGCGAGAGTAAGATTAAGATCAGATTGAATTTTTCTGTAAATAATAAATTCTCGAATATACAAAACCACAATAATTAAGTAACTAGATTGGCATGCTTTTAACAGTTAACGCCGATGTGTTATGGTGGTATTCTTATCAAAATAAGAAAAGCCCAATATTTTAAGCCATTTTAGTCAAGCCTGTTGTCAAAAATTTTCATTGATTTTTTTAAGCTTCTTTAAAATTATTTTTATTTTTCATCTGTAGCCGTTGATCTCATAGTTTTATATTTGTATACATTCTATTTTTAAACAGCATCCGTCCTTGAACTAAAGAACTTTTGAGATCCATAATCGATCTAGAGAATCTTTAACTTTGAGAATTCTGAGTCAATTAGCTAGTTGCAAATTGTACGAATGATTAATGAACCAAGACAGAAATTTTTCCATAAATTTTACTCTTACTCAGATTTTAAATTAACAAGATTATCTTAAACCTTACTGACTTGCCTTTCATATATTCTATAATAATGCAAATATTTTTCCTGGCATCATTGTGCATTTCCAATGTCAGTTGTGACTTAATTGATATTCATAGCTTATAGCAATTGCGTCTTAGTTTTAATTACTTATATCGATTACATCATAAATTTTAATTTTCACAATTAAAATTTAAAACTCAAATTTAATAACTTTATGAAACTAATTTGATTATGTTATTTGAATTCAATTTGATGTAACTAGATAATGTTCACAGGTCAACGTGTTAAACGTTTGTAGACATTTTAAAAGAAATCAATTTAATGTTTTTGACTGCAGGCATTCGGAGAAAAATCAAGAAAAAAAGAGTTTTTCGAATAAATTTAAAGTTTCTGAAAAACCATGTCTCAAATATCAAAAATGAACCCTTCTTAATTATTGTCCCAAAATTATTCTTAAGGAAAGACAAAGAACTTTTAAAATCAACAATGCAAAATTTAAAGAAAATACAGAACAATAAATTTATTCATTAAAAGTTCATGAAACTCTCAAACGTGTTTATATCATGTTTTGGCAAAATAATTATTTCTACTTATTTAATAGCCAACCCATTTTACAGATGTATACAAAAGTGTCAAAATATGTTTGTCTTGTTGTTTAATTTTCAATGAGCTTTCTTGACATATTGCCAGGAAAAAATGCTGTTTAAATGAGAAAAAAAATCATATGCAAATTATTGAATGAAGTGTAGAGATTCTTTCGTTATAAAATTAATTAATTATCTTTAAAAATTTGTTGATGGATAATGTTTTGACACATTCATTAATAGTCGTTTGCTTTCTTAAATCCTTTTAATTCTCATAGTCATGCTTTTGAATTTTTTGAAAAGAAAAATGCACACTCATTAAATTTCTGGGTTTGGGAAAAAGAAAAAATATCAAGAACATCCTCTATTTACATACGTTATTGTAAAAAATCAATCAAGAAGCGCAACCCTATAGAGTTTTTGTATTGCTTCCTTTCATAAACTAGATGTAATTTATTTTTCACAAGACTATTAATCAATTATGAAAATTTTAATTAATTAAAAAAACTAGCACTTACATACACTTAGGAGTATACTCTTAAACCATATGCAATCTAGCTTACATGGAGATATTTTATAAAAGAAAGGATTTTTTGAGTTAACAAAATTATAATTTGATGTTTGGGTCAGAAAGGGTCATTTATATTTATGAAAGTCTGAAGTCATGTGACAACCAAAATACTAATTATTTTATTTTAAAAAATTCAATTTTGAATGCTCTATACTTAGTTAAAATCTCGGAATCGATTCAATTATCACTTATCACATTTAATTTTAGCTCATGGGTTTGTGGTATGGTGCTGAAATAATTACTCATCATGAAAGTGAAGCATATGAGACTGTCTATGATTCCTGTGTAGTTGTTCATTTAGCGGATGCCAATGAGGTAAGTTGGAAATATTTTGCATAAAATAAATCTATCAATCATTAATTTTTTACCCTCTCCGCATATCACGGAACTTATGAAATTTTCATTTGACATATTGATTGGAAATGAAGAGAACAATAAAAAAAATTTCAGTTCTCAAACTTGATCGATTAACCTCTTGACGACTCCCTTTGTTTTATTAAAATAAGTATAACAAAGAGCTTAGTTTGTTTATATTATTTTAGTTTGCATAATATTTATTTCCTGTGCATAATGCGGTTAAGGTGATGATATTTTTTTCGAGTGTCGATATGTCGATACTTCCTTAAACTCATCATTCCCAAAATGTCAGCAATATTTTTGTTTTTGTATGTCAGTGATATGAATATAAAACTTCCCAAACTTTCAAATTCAATATTAAGATATGTAAGAAATCTGTCTGCAATATTTCCATCTTAATTCCAATTTTATTGAGATATTGCATGAATAAAATGCAACAAAACTGCCACTTTTTATATTCTACAAACATGCTGTACCGCCCTTCATGTAAAAATTTTTCAATTTCATTCAATTATCAGCATTCTCTCACTTAATTGAATTCACGCTCAACTTAAATGCCGATTCAATTGATGCGTAATGTTTAAGTGTCATTGCGTTTTTTCTCTTTGTGCTCTACATGTGTATGATAGTTGTCAATTCGACAAATGGATCTATCAAATTACATACTTTCGATGAACTTATTAACTACTTATATTATTGACAAAATGCTATTGACGATGATTATTGAGTGCTTTTTACATTACATGAATGTCTTGGCACTAATTGGATTACGATGTTAACAAAATAATAAATTAAAAAGAGAAGAAAGACTAACAAGAAGTAGAAGAAAGTAAAAGATTAAGAGTCAAATGAAATGAAATTTAATTCTGAGTTATGCATGCGGTAGAAGAAAATTTAATTAAAATATTTTCACTTTATTTTTTCACAGCTTGGAAATGACGATTATGATTACTCAAATTACGACGACAGAGTGGTCAGCCAAAGGCAACCTGTTTCACACAATCGACAGAATTACAATTTCCATGGCTCTAATCGACGACTTCGTTTAATCTGGGATGAGAAAGGACGATCATTGGAATATACATTAAGAGTTGACTCAGCACGACGTGGTTTCTGGATGACGTCTGGACCACAAAAAGGTGAATGATTTTATATTTAATTGAATTAATTGCAAATGCTTGTAATCATTTAATGTGCAGTGTTTGTTAATGTGTTTGGCTTTTAAAGTGGAAATTGCTTTATTAAAAGAGATTTGTTTTTGAACTAAAGTTTTTATTTAAAAATCAGAATAAATAGATTAATTAAAGCATTTAATTATCAGAATTTATCAATATCACATAACTATTATTCAAATTAAATTATCAAGCATTTATATGATATTTCATATCTCTTATACATTTTGAGATAATTGGAAATTACCATAAATTCATAAGAACATCCAAAGACACGTAAAACATGCATGCTGCACGCCCTCAAAAAATCTAATTATTAAATTATGATCTTTTTTACAAAATTAGGAACAATGCTAGACTTACCATACAGTCAATTTACTGGAACCGTACAAGTGATGAAAGCAGTGGGAAATCATCTTGTCCTAACATTCTGTGAAACGTTGCCAAAGAGTCAAATGTTTACAATTATCTTAACTCGCAAACCTCATCTGTTATCGCGTGATGTAAGTCGCTTAGCTCATAAAACTTATTGATTGAGGTCTGATAATTAAGTTTTTTGTCATTAATTTTCTTTATTACTTTAGGATGTTCAATCAGTGAGAAATCTCCTACGACGTCGTGGCTTGAGTGTTCAATCTGTACGAAAAGTGTGTCGCAACTCCTCAGTGACAATAAAATCAAGCATTATGTTGACAATTATTACATTCATTATTGCATCGCTTCTCAGTCGAAAGGTTTAATAATGGGATGGAAGACGTCACAAGAGATTACACAGCAGTTGAAAATTAAATTTGATTATTCAAAATTTCTTATGTTTATTATTTTGAGGATGCTCGCATCAAAAACATTTCGGCACGCTTTAATTTTTTTTTGTTTCTATTCCATCCTTTTCATGTTCTTTAAAATGCCAGAATTTAATTCTTGGTAATTTCCTTTAATTACTGATGATTGAGTTCATTTAAATTATTTTCATGGATCTTCATTTTCTAAATTTTGTTAGTAATTTATTCATTATCATGTGTGCTTTAATAGAATAAGAAGGGGGAAATTAATTTATTTGATAATTTTGTAGCAAGTTTATTGTAGAATTTATCAAAAATCAAGTGATTGGTATTATTCTTAGTAATTAGCATGAACATTATACTGAGTTGTTTGGAAAAACAATACTGCCATTTTTAAGGACACAGAAATTTTCAAAAAATTGACTTACAATCTTTATCAACATTGAATAATTTCATGATATTTACTGGAATATTAAAATTGTAATCTTTCATGCGATCCATGAAAGTACATTAAAGAATTTTTTTAAAATATTTACTAATTTAAGTGTATAATAGATTTAATTAAATCATGAGAGTCACTATGCATTAATTTTTTTTAAAAAAGATAAAAAGAATTATAAATGAACTTTGAATGGAAAATGTTCTCAAAAATATAGAAAATAATGCTAGTATTTATTTAATATATGTAATATTTCTGCAAGGAATGAATTTTTTAATAAACAAATTTTTAAAGATTTACTCCTTTGCACTAACTACTGATGATTGTAACAATAATTTTAATACATAATGAAATTTCCGCTGACTACCAAAAACAACTTATTAATTGATTAATTAATTCATATATGACGACGATCTGTCATGTATATCTTGGTTTAAGAATTTATATATTTAGATGTTTGTAATGAGTCGTGTTAAATGTAATGAAAGCCTTTATACGATATTAATTAATAGTTATAACAATTTAGTTGTTAAGAGTCAAGATCAATAACAGAAGAAATTAATTTGGCTTGTGCATTGAAAACAAAATTTTATTTCAGCTTTTTCATTGAATTTTTGCGACTATTTTGAAGTTTTAATTTTGTTCTTGATTAAATTTAAAATTTTCATCTTGCAAAATTTATTCTTTCATTAAACTTGATGCCTAAGATAAAAAATAAGAAATCAAAAATTTATCCTTATGTGCCTACCTAGTGGCCATAAAAAAATGTTCACAGTACATCAATGCTCTCAGCAAATAATATGAAAATGCCAAAAATAACAAATTTTAAATTTGAACAAAACTTTTCAAGTCTAATTCTCCAAATTTTACTCTTGCAACATTTGTAAGTTAATTATACCAAATTTTTTAAAATATTGTAAATCAAATTTTATGATCAAATAAAGAGATTGAAATAAAGAATAACTTAAGTTAAGAATATAGAATTTCTGCTGTCTTTAATTCGTTTTTCAGTCTTTAATTCAGCGTCATCAAGTTGATTGTTTCATGAACAAGAATCTGTAATAACTCTTGTGAGAACATTTATACGTAGGCGTTTAAAGAAAATAACAATAAAAGTTCTTTAATATATTTTGAAGAGGAAGTTCAAAGAGTCAAATGTTATCATCTTGTGCGTTATTTTCTAAATTTTCTTTTCAATTCAATTAATCAGATAATTGTTGATGGAATTTAATTGTCCAATGTCTATTGTCGGGTAGGGAAATGGTTGATCAGTGCATTTATTGCTGATCATTATAATTTCAGAATTATTTTACTATTTTAATTTCAGATTACCTAATTAAAATCCTTTATTCCTTACAAAAACTTGATAAAAAGAATTACAAAGCACATATAGTGGGAAAAAAACTTTAGGCTTATAAACTCCAACAATGATGCATTCACGAGAAGAACATTGCGCAAAAAAGCTTCTCTTTTTTTTGCTGCTAATGCATTAAAAGTCAAACAGCACCACCAAAATATTTTATAGGCCAAAACTTACAACATCTTATTGCGTATCATAATCAAAAAATCTACTTAGAATTGTCCTCTTTTATTCCATAGATTTTTTTATCTTTTTTCTTTATTTTGCTTGGCCTAATTTTCCTATTTCATACATGATGCTTAAATCTTGTCACCAATGTATGTAAGAAAGAAAAACAAATATGAAACAGGGAAAGGGAGAGTGAGACAGAAAACCATTTCATTTTCCATAAAGTTCCACTTACAAAAATTTCATTTTCATTCTGAAAAAAAATTAAATTCAACATATTCTACCGCATTGTAAGGACAGTTGCGTTTTGTACGTCCTAGCGTTAAAGTCGTTTGCCTGAATTAAGGCCAAAAAATCATTTTAGACATTGTGACTGAAAAAAACTTTCTATATAATAATTAAAAACATGAAAGTCGAAATTACGGCACTAGCGTTCGTGCTTCTACATCGTTTTGCATTCGCAGATGTCGACTATATGAGTCGCTGTCCAGAATATAATCCCCAAAATGAATTAGATATCGAGTTGGTGAGTTTAAAAATATTTTTATTTCTCCATCGTCATGTTGTGTGAGCTTAAATATTTTCATGCTGAATTGAAAAATTTTCTCTGCTCTGTTACTTTAATGAAATTTCTGTGTTTAAATTGGACAAAAAAAAATGTGAATAGGAAGAAATTCTCCCCTTTTTTGGAATAAATACTGTGCATTGAGAATTGTGGCGCCAATTTTTTGTACGTTTAATCATAAGAGATGATGGAGATGGAAAATAAGAAGGGACATAATTTGAAGGATTTATGTGAATGAATTTTTGTCAATGTATTTTTTTGGCCAACAAGTTAAAAACGGATGGTGCTGATTTTTTTTGTATGGATATTTAGTGATGGTTTTAGTGTCATTTTTGAGTTAAGGTCAATCGATCACGATAAAAAAAATTCTTTTTTTTTTCAAACCTAAAATCTTTTTATTATAAGATTCTGCCTGTTATTTCGTTCAAAATTCATATCATGATAAAATTCATCATTAAAATCAGCAAATAAATTAAAATATCAATTTTAAACTGAATCATAGACTTTGTTGTAAGTTAATATTAAACAACACAAAAAATAAAGTTTTTTATTAAATTAGAAAAGTAGATCAGCAAAGGTTTTTTGTTAAAACTTTAAAACTGACAATAATCATAATTAATGTTCTTAAAAAATAATTACGACATTCAACATATTTTACATAGAAACTTTTTATTGTTTAAGGAAATCCTTTTTTTCTTCTTCTATAAATGTGCCTAAAATACTTTCTTCTACACTATACCATAGATCCTTGATTCAGCATTTTTCTTTAATTGTTCATATTTAATTTTTCCATTACTCAACCAAAATCTAAAAAGAACCTTTTATGTCCATTTTCAATCCAATAAATTTCTTGACACATATTTTATTCAAATAAATATTTCATCTAGATATCTGGATTATGGTTTGGAGCAGAACTTATCACTCATTATGAAGGAAGAGGTCAAATTCAATCATTTGACTCGTGCATTATAACACAAATTGAGGAGATTTTTGAGGTGAGATATGGATTAGAGATTTATTATCATTTAGGTCTTTGGAATGAGATAGGAATGAAACAGATTCAAAAGCAATTTAAATAGCATTAGGAACTTATCAAAATATTTAATTAAATTTTTATCAAACATTTTAATGTGTACGTGATGATTCGAATGCTTGACTTGTTTAAAGTCATGAACAAAAAAATAGACTTAGAAACGTGAGGATACCTGAAAATATTTAGGGACACAAATTTTAAAATTGGATACAAAGAAAAAAAGATTTGTAGATCAAAAATATTTGGATAGAATAGAAAAATTCTTTTCGGCTATCTTCTCTGTTTTTGACCTAAATAGAGGAAAAGATTGTGAAAAGTATTTTTATTTTAATATTTTGCGATTGCTGAAAAAGTAATTATGCTCAAAATCATGAAGTTGGAATAAAATTATTTGATTTCATTCCGATATTAAACCCCAAAGTGCAATTACTAAGCAATAATAAAACATTTAAAAATTTCATTCTTATCTTAAAGTTATAAACGAAATTGTCACAATAAAACCATTTAAAGCTGACTATTAAGACAAGTTCACCCCATAAATCATAAAACAATTCGATCAAAAAGACAGAATAATATTTTGATCAAGGACATTAATGTGTTTTCAAGTCAGACATTACAAATGTCCCTTTTTTTTCTATTTTAGTGGGGTGATTATAATTATGATTATGATTCGGATCCTAGACGAGTAGATTCAAATAAGAGGGGCTTTAGATTTATAAAGCTTCAAATGAATGAAGGCGATAAGGCTGCAGAATATACACTTAAGTTCATTGGCACCAAGAGAGGTCTCTGGATTGGAACCGAACCACCAAGAGGTAAGAGTGTTATTATACTAGTGCATGTGCATTTATTATTTGCATTCACCACTTTTTATATATGTATTTTATGTATTTTTTAGAAGATAAAGCTTGCCAAAAACTTTTTATCTTTCCTTTCACATGAAAAACCCATAAATTTAATTCTTTTTATTCCCGTACAGGCAGCATATTAAAGAAGCATCTCCACCATAGTCATTTCACCGGCACAATTCAGGTCATGAAAGCAGTGGCTACTCATCTCGTACTGACTTTCTGCGAGCGAAATGAACTTTTTACTATTATATTGACCCGAACGAAAAGCATACCAGTTGATGTGAGTACATTAAGCCGATAATGTTTATTCTTTTATTTATGTTTGCGATATGGTTTAGGCCCAACATAATTTTTTCCATTATCAATTATTGATTTTTATCTCTCCTGTTTTCTCTGCTATATGTTAAAGGGTTTCGACTTTCTCGTTATCGATAGTCATCGAAAATATTTCAAAATTTGAAAAATAATTATTTAATTCACACTATTTTCTCAATAAAAGGCGGAAAACATGAATCATACAAGAAAAACATGAAAACTTGGACTCACTCTGATAGTTGGAACAAAGAATGTGCTAACAAAAGAGCCCAAATAAATTATTTTTATAACAAATAATGAATGTCAAAAACATGGATAATTTAACACTTTTAGCGCATTCTTTATTGAACCGAGTCAGTGCAAACAATTGATTACAAGGGAAAAGGGAATTTTAAGGATAGGATTCACAATTATTTCGTGTTGGAAAATATGTCCTCCTTTATCGCATCAAGGCTGCTCGCCTATCTGTTAAAGGCTATGCATCTATAAGTTTATCATCGAAAATAGAAAGCTCTAGAGAAAGCCCTAATTTTTGTTTTCATAAATATCACACATTGAATTTACATTTTACTGAAAATATTTTTTCCATGCTTTTCTTTCCAGGACATTGATTCAATTCACAATCTGCTCCAGCGACGTGGACTAAATGTTCAATCTACTAGAGAACTTTGTCGATTTTCATCAGCTGTACGACCTACACTGCCGTTTAAAATTCTCCTCTCGATGATTGTTATGGGAATTCTTTTGATCAGAAATTAAATTTCTACATCCGCATTGTGACGATTAAGAATTTTTAGTTTTATGTTCTTGTCTATTTTTAAAAATTTATTGTACATTGAGTCATTCTATCCATTGTCTATCGATGACAATTAATTTATTTGTCTTTTGGAATAATTGAAGCTTTTTCTTTGTTTGTATTATCTAGTTCTAGTGAATAAGTTGCTGCTTCATTCAAGTATTTATGATATATGTATATTGTACATAAATAACTTTTCTTTGACATTTATGTATTTGACGATACATTTAAAAAATAGATATAGTATGTGTTATCATGTCCAGCGTTTATAATTTATAGTCGTTGAAGAAGAAAAAAAAAATGTGTGAATTTAGGTGAAAAAAAATTTAAATCATCTTTCTTAAATAAACATGGAAAAATCTTTTCCTTCCTTCCTTTTTATCGAATCAAGTTTGTTGTTTTTCTTGACTCATCATGTCTGTCATTTGTATAGGAATATAGGAATGCGATACATCTATGAACTACATATATATATTTTTTTTGATTTTACATTTGAAGAGCCGGTATCATCATGAAATACTAGTTGCTGATGGTGAAGAACTACTCAAGTCTAGAGGAAAATAAATAAATCTCTTAATTTTCTCTCTCTTTTCTGTTTCATTGTTTTTGCTTGGTTTTTCTTTTTTCAAAAAATAAATTTTCATGAAAATAAGAATGAAAACCACAGAAGAAATTTTGAACAAGGTGTATCAACTACAAAAGAGATGAAACTTTTTATAGGTTAAGTAGTTTGGCATGAAGAAAAAATTCAGATCCAGCTGTTTAAAAGCAAAGTAAAAGATTTTTTTTAAAGTGCAACTGAATTAAAGCAGGTAAAAACATTTACTCCAAAAAAAGAAAGAATTTTTGATCCAAACGACTTGAGAATCTAGAAACTAACAGCTAGTCTGTTTCGCCTTGGTTTTCAATACACACTATAATTTTTCTCTTCTTATTTTCCTTCGGCTCTTTTGAAATCTCATGTGAAAATATATTCTTCAATTTCTGTGATTTTTTTTATTCAGTCGGTTTCTCGGTTTGATACAATATAGTTGAATAAATAAAAATAGGAAACTTCATTAGTTCCACAAGCGTAGGTGATCAGTCTTGATTTTATTTTTACCTGAACTTGTGAATTTTGCTATTAAAATAATTTATTGGGTAGTTTTTCACATAAATTTTATTTGCTGTGGCTTTAATTTTATTTTTAAGCACTTTATCCGGAAATGCCAAAAAATTTTCATCATTTTTTTTGCGCGTTGAAAATTTTAATATTTAAAGAGACAATTAGATTGGATAAAATAAGAACAAAGTGATTGCACAATCAACATTGTATCTTCAAAGTAATTTTCCCCTAAAATTAATCCATATTAAGCAAACTCCACAGCAAAAACTTACAATGTTGCAGGCAGCAATAAAATTGTTTTTCAATAATACCAATCGATGCACACACAAACATGTGGAGCTATAATTTTCAGTTTTCCAAAAACTCTCAAGAGCCGAATAATAAAATAAGCAAATTTTTATCTCAACGCTTTACTCGACTCTGTTGCTGTTTGTGATTGCAAAGTTTCAACTATGTTCTGGAAATTCATTTCAAATTGTAGACATTAAACTTTGTGTACGAATTCTAATTGAGTTTTAGGTCTGATAACGAAGCCAGAGTTTGATTCTTTGATTTTAAATTGTAAAGACTGTGAAACTTTAGTGATTCCAAAAAATTCAATCGTATTTGAATCTAAAGATTAAAATACAACTCTGACTCAACTTAAAGTTTGCGAGTGGAAATTTATGACCAAAATATTGTCATTGGCATAAAATTATCCAAACACTGAAACTATCTGAAGTAAATGCATAGCTTCCTAATACATAGATTGTCCTAATTTATTTGAGTGAACTCGAGACTCGTTTTATAAAATTGTTTCTGAGTCTTAAAAAGAAAAATCTAATGCTCAAAAAATATGTGCGAAACGAAAATTAGGCAAAAATTTGTGAAAAGATAAAAAATTTTATTTTAAAAAAGTGAAGGTCACCAAGAATTTAAAGAAAAACAAACGACAATAACGATGAAAATGTCTCACTTCCCACAACTATTTGAGCAATTAAAATATTTAAAAATTCACACATAAATTGCAAACTACTATAGAAATGAAATGAAGATGAAAACTTTTCAGCAGTTATACATTGCATTCATAAAACTTTAAAGATTCATGAGAGAAAATTTATTTTGGAAAGTAAAATCTCAATAAATGTTAACCAATTTATTGTGGTGCAAAAGGGAAATACAAGCTTTATGTTTTTTAATAAATTGGATAAAGTAAGGTACTATTTCAATAGTTTAAAATCATTTCCATTATTATTTCTGTGGAGTGTATATTTAGGTAGCTCTGTTTTGTGTGAATTATGACCTTGTTTTAAAAGTTTTTTACAACAAACGCTCTTCCTTTAAAACTAAGCATTTAAGCAAGTCACACTTTTTTTTAAACATTTTCAATCGATAAGCCCAAAAAATTTTCTCAGTTGTTCCTATCGACTCAAACATATTCATCTGTCAAATAAGAATTCATTGCATGCTCTTTTCCGTCATTTAAAAGCTGTAGGGCCATGAAAATTAAATTTATATGTGTCTATCTCTGCAACAATTTATATCACAAACCACTCTAAATATTAAAACTAATTTATAGAGCGATGCAGTGTATTGTGTATGCAAGTTGACAAAATATCTTTTTTGTTGTTGTTTAATTTTAGAAAAAAAAGTGTGAAACAAAAACTTCATCACGTGGTTGTGTTACAAAATTTATTTATGCAGTCATAACAGAGAAAAGAAAAATCTCTCATCATTTCGTACTTCATGCACATATGTGAAAAAGAAATAAGAGCAGAGGACCTGAACTTAGAAATTAGTTTATTTGCTACACATACTGTGGAAAGAAGAAAATAAAGAAAAATGAGTATTTTAAGTGGCAAATCAATCATTACACTTACAATCATCATACTACAAATTTATCATTCTACTGGAGATGAAACTGCTAATTCTCCAAGGAAAATTAATGAGAGTCCATCTGAAAATCTAAGAAAACAAATAATATGCCCATCGCTAGTTAGAACGAATAATTGGGAGATTGAAGAGGTAAGGTATAACAAATTCAGTACTTGACTTAATTTGAAATTGATCGTTGATGTTTAATTTCAAAAAAATTAACATAATCTGATGTATGAGAAGGCTCAAAAAGATTCGCATTAAAATTTTGTTGTGGATATTATTTTATTATGTGTGCTTTTATGCTTTATATGATTTTTTTTAACAATTTTCCTGGCTGTTTTATAAATTCTTAGTATTGGCATTAAAATCAAGGCTTGGAAACTATCCCAAATATCATATTTATCCCACACATCCCAAAAATATTCAAAAAGTTCCTGAGCATATATGCACGATAATAAAGATATCCCAACGTATCCTTAGTGTTTGGACGTGTAATTTCAGGATATACTGGGATATCTCAATTCTAATGCATACAGGCTCAGAGATTATTTTGAATATTTTTGGGATAAATTTGGGATAAATGGGATATTTGGGATAGTTTCCACGCCATTATTAAAATACATTTTTTAATCTAATAATCAAGTGACAGTGCAGTAGACTTCTATTTAACCATAACTTTTCATAAATATAACAGGGGATACTTTAATCATAACTTTTAGCAATAGGGTATTAGGGTTTCAATATAATTTTAAAATTTTAAAGTGATATTAGAGACCAAACATTTTAAAGTAGTAATAGAACTTAAATTAAACAGAAAATTTCACAGGGTTTTCATACCTAATTTTTCAACAATTATATCAAGATTTCATTAAGAGTATATTATATAAACTTTAAATTAATTTAAGTTATTTTTGCCCCAAAAAATATGTTGAAGTCCTCCATTCGAATTACTGGCGATCTTTTTTCAAATTTTACTATTGTTTTTCAAAGAATGTGTACATCTGTGTTTAAGCTCATTAAGTTTATTGCTTTTCGAATAAAACAAAACTATTAAAAATATTAAAGGATAAATTTAGAAAATTGTATATATGTATTGCTCCAGTATTGCTTTAAACGAAGATTTACTTTCAGAGAACTAATGCATTTAAAATTTTAAATTCACATTGTCGATAATAATTTTATGTCATTTTAGTTCTTTGGCAATTGGAGTGGAATCGAATTATATTCGCATAAAACATATCCAAATGAAAGTTTTCAGGATACGTGTATGAGGATAAATATTGCTGAAGTGAATGAGGTAAAATTTATTTCATAGTAAAAGACCTGCGAAAGCAGAAATTTTAAATTTTCTGATTGGAATTTGAAATGTTTTCTTGTTGCTAGATCAGTGCCAAAAGCATAAATTCATACAGATGACAAGCGCAAAAAATGAAGTTAATGTGTCCAGGTCAAACATGAGATTTTGATTTTAAAAGTTCTTAATTAATGCAAGATTTATGACCCATAATTCCATCAGATGATTTACATATGCTTTCAAATTAGTTCGAGATTTTATAGTATCCATACTTGACATAGTTTTTACTACACTTGATTTATTCAAATCAAGACTGGAGATTCTTACATTTTATTGATTTTTTAATCCAATTTTTTCATAGGAAAATGAAGAGATGACATATGGCAAGCCTATAGATTATTTTAATTTTCGTCTTGCTTTGCGATACCTTAAAGTGAACTTCTATTCAAACAACATGAAATCCGGAGAATATATCCTTTCATTCAATAACACGAAACAAATGCTGTGGTATGGAAACGATATTAGAATGCAAATCATAAAATTTGATAGAAAGCAAATGATGCTGACTGTATGTGCGATGGATAAAGGTGAAATGTACACAATTCTATCAAATCGATATGATGAAAATAGAAACGAATATCAAACTGATAGCACAAATTTGAACCGTTTGATACTTCAAGGACGGAATCTCAAAATTCATTCAAAATTTGATCTTCAAACAAATTGCAGTAGCGACTCTAACAATGATTTGGATGAAAATGAGTACACAGAAATTGATTTGTTTGAAAATGTGACGGTGACAAATACGTTCTTGGAAGATGTATTGCAAAAAAATTTGACACTAGAAAGCGGATGCATGCATTTGCAATTTGACACTGCTATTTTGTTATTGAGTTTGTTGACCTTTGTCTTCGTATGGATGACTCGTCCAATAAATTGATTTAAAACAAAACAAAAAGAAACTATAAATATAAAAAAAAAATTAATTTTAAAGTTGTTAAACTTTCTTTTATTTATTACTTCCCTAACTTCGGTCAATAACATTTACAAATAAATTTTTAAAATTGATTGTATACATTTCATTTATATTTTATAATCAAGTCACTATTCATGCTAAATAACAACCTTCTCTACATTTAATAGCACCCTCTATATATATACAATCACTCAAGTATTAATTGACTTTTATACACAAACATAAAACGATATCACCAACGTCATTACTCTTTGGGTTTACTACTCTTCTTCCTTTTGTTATTATTTTTTTTTCATACGTGCGAACGAGATTGGATGGAAATTATTTGTGTATGCCTACACAGTTTTTGCTATGTTTCTTCTTTGATGTATCAGCTTAATTTAATTCTTAATTTACGCAGAAAATAAATCTGTCAGTTTCAAAGTTCAATAAATGTTTTTCGCGTAGACAAAGTGGAAATTTTGTTATTAATGTGCTTTTAATGGTATATGGACTGTAAACTATTTAGGCTTAGTCAATTGAGTTTTTTTTCAGTAAATTTTATCCAGTTAAATTTCAAAAAAAAAAATACAAACTTTAAAGCTTTTTATTCCAGAAAATACTAGGACGCAAAAACAAAGCAAAAAAGTCCTGCGTTGTTTATAATCAAGCAAAACACTTTGTGCTAAAAATAATTTATAATACATTCATTGATTTACTATTCAGCATGTTTAGTCAAATAAATTATACTTGGAACTAACCATATATTCCTAAACATATACTTTATATTACATGCGTTCTTAAAAAATTCACAAATAGGTGTAGGTTTCATATTGTAATGAGAATAATAATTTCTGCAAAAACGTGCTTCATATTTCGTCATAAATATTTTAATGCCAAATGTACGCATGAAATGATATTGATTTCCAGTAAAGTTATAGTGATTTCAAAGACAGTAAACAAGCGAAGAAAATAAAAAGGAACCGTATACGTAGTGAGCAAATATATCGAATTGTTATTGATAAAATTCATATCATATTTCCAATATTAATATGAAAATTTTTATGGCTTCATTAGCTTTATAAGAATGTGTGAAAAATTGGGAAATGATAAGGAAAACAGACAACTGCATCGAATCGAGCTTCAAACATTAGCTTAATATTGCTTCAGGCTCATTCAAACATCTAAATGAATGTATGAAATCAAAGCATAAAACTCGAAATGTTCTTTCTGCACTAAGAGTGTTTTTTCACAAGCAATTCCCAAAATTAATTGAACAATTCTTTAACCAATTTATTTAATAAGTTTTATGGAATGAAAATTCAAATAAGACATTTATAGTTTCAACGTCAAACTTAATCTCTTCTTTAACAAACTAGAGATTTAAAATCGGAATTTTTTATCAACTCTCCAACTTATGTCTATAGATTAAGCATATATGCTTGCACATTATTTTTATCTAGTTCATACCTATATTAACGAGGTTAAAGCGACTAAATTGTTATGCTTAAATAAACTAGTAGCTATTCAAATTACTTAATTTCCTGTGACCCAATTCAAAAATTAATTTGTTTTGTTTTAATAACTTATGATTCAAAGTCGTCTTATTGTACTGCTGATGTTATATGCTTTTTGTTTGTCAAAATATCGGATTTTTCTACCAAAATTAAACTGCTCTAAAATATGTTTTTATTGACAACTTTGTTGTTGTAAATATCCTTTATTGAATATCCTTTTCCTCAAAGAGAGCAACATATGATACAAAAGTATTGATTGTGTACCTTTGTTCTGATGGAAAATATGAATAAATCGGGTTATATCAATTTATAGGAGCAAGGGCAAAAATCTTTTCATGTTTTTATTATTTTTAGATTAATGATGGATATCCATATCTTTATTGTAAACAAAAAATTAGTGATTATTTCTGAAGATAAGGTATATGCAAAAATTATCGCATAATTTTATATTGCGATGATATTGCATATCATGTGATGATATCTAGCAAGAAACGAGAAATATTAAATTTTTTTATATACTCATTAAAAAGGATTGAAATTATGTTAATATTTTAAAAATAAAATCAACTATTTCAAAATCATATCACTGTATTTAAAACAGTCAAAAATTATATCACTTTTTGAAAAATAAAAGAAGAATAAAAACTTTAACATTGCAATTAAAAGTTCAAATGAAGTTAAATTTTTAAGTCCCTATCGGGACTTGCGCAAATATTTAAAGTTTAAAAACAAAATGTTAAACGAACGCAAAAGTTATTAAAAAGTAAAAGTTAAAGCTTTGTTTGGTCTTTTGTTAATTAATTTTTCAGTTCGAATTTCTCTTTTTAACCATTTTATTTGATTAAAGTTCAAACAAATCCAATTCATACAAAATAAAATACAAGACATAATTTTATTCAACTTTTAAATCCATACAACATGTCGACATTCTCGCTAAATGCACATCTTACCTTATGAATGTAATAAGATAGCAGGTCTGTAACGTCAAGCAAGTATCAATAAACATGTCAGTGGTTACACAAATGTATAAAATTGTAAAACTTTTTGCTACAAATAACAAACGTCTGCATCATAATGATTCCATTGCTATACTCTCACGTAGTAGCAATCTAGTAGTGACGTCATAAATGAAAAATTGCTCTCGCACTCTCATCTTGTTATGCTATAACACTACACATGTTTTTGCCATGTGATTCAAAGTTTTTTGCTGCTGTGTTGATGATGTCATAAACATGAAAATGAGAGCAGAGAAGGTTTAATACTCAGAGAAATTTGTATTCAAAATGAGAGAAAATTTTCCTCCGTCATTAGATGGAAAAAATTTCAGTTCTCGTTGAGATTTTCATCGATTCAGGTCGGAAAAATAAAAGTGCAAGAAAATTAAAGAATTTTTCTTTTATCGTATGAAAGAAAAAAAAATTATTTTTTCATTTCAAGTAGTAAAAATATTCATTAAGCAACAAAAAATAAGAAAAAAGAAAGTCAAGAAAAAAATTTCCATTTCACATCAATTTACGGAAATCCAATAAAATATTAATTGAAAAAAATTCATACTGGACGAGACCAAATGAAGCACAGTAATTAGTGTATTAAAATCTTTTAAGAGTCTATAGTGATTTTTATATGAGCATCCCTGTGTCTAGATGTGCAAGTGAACAATAAAGGGAAAAAGAAAATTTAATGCAGAAATTATAAATTTTTTCTGTTCATTTAGACGAGAAAGAAAAATAAAAATTTCATCTATAAATTAAGAGAAGAGAAAAAGAAGAAAAAGACTCGTAGAAAATATTTTTAGATTCAAAATAGCACAGGAAAGAAATTTAGTTGAAGCGCTTCAGTCTTCACCGCAAGACTTGCTTCTTGGTCGCCGTTTGGCGTTTCTTGATAAAAATAGACAGAGACAGAAGGAAAACATACTACAATTATTACAGTGTGAGTAAATTACGATAAAATTAATTTTTTTTCTTCGCTCATATTTTTTTTCTTTTTGATTTCCTGGCACTCGCTATATGAATGATTTGTACTAAACCTCTAATATTAGTTGACTGTCCTTTTATTTCTTCATGACTATAATGAAAAAATTTATATATATTGGCAATAAAAAGAATTTATAGTTCTTTCCTTTTTGCGTTGGGTGGCAATAAAAGCCGGCTTATTTATTTATTTTGAAATCTTGATTGATGAGTTTTTTGATTTTTTAGCTTCGAATTATTTACGAAAAAGTTTGTCATCAAAAAATATAAAGTCATCTGGATGTTTGATAACTTCAGTTGTTGATTTCTATTTCTGATTCAATACATTGTTTTTTAATGGATACATAAATTGAAATAAACAATTGAAATTCTTATTAGAAAGCTTTATTGAGTGTGGGTATTCCAAAAGATAGAATATGACTGTTTTCGTATATTAATAAATACAAATTGAGGCTCATGTGTTGATTAGGACAATAATGCCACAAAATTTTTTGTGAATGAAAGATTATTGAAAAGCTATCAAAATTATGAATAACTTATAAAATGTGCAACATCTTTTTGGGAAAGTTATGTCCTTAGCTATGTTGAGATGATTGAAAAATTGCTTAAAATATAAATCTCATCTGTTATGACTGAATAAAAATTTCATAGATAATTAAAAGAGTTTATATCGATATATAAAACCTCAAAATAATAAACAAAATTGAATAATTATATTTAAAGCCTGTGAATTTTAATATTCTATCTTCTATTTTCATAGCTTAAGCTTAAAAAATTTTACAATTGAAAAGAAAACTTTGTGATTTTGATAAGCACTCAGCTTTTTCATTCATCAACAAACCCTCAGAAAATCCCATGGCAACAGACGTATTTCATTCATCATTTGATATTTTATTTTTTCACGCATGTCTTAATTTAATCAAAATACTATGCATAAAAATTTTCACGCTGAAGCTATGATGTGATTCATATTTAAATTAGCATTTGTTGACTCAACCGACTATGATAATAATTTTCCCTAACTTCGTTTCACACTGCAAATACGTATCTGCCAACGCAAGATTTTCCGTGTTTGTGTCTTAAAGAAAAAAAAATCCTCTTAATCATCAAAGAAACGAGAAAATTCGGAGTAACATGTTATTTAGGAAATGATGCAAATTTTTGTTCGCGTTCTCAAGAAAGAGCGAGGAAATGAGGATGAAAATACCTTTTAAACACGAGACAAATAAAATTTCATAAAATCTTGAAAATCCTCTTTTACTGCTCTTACTAAGTGAGCTGAAATATTTATTTTAAATAAATTGTAAAGACTGTGTTGAGGAAGAAAATTAATGATGTGCAACAGCAAATATCACAAGTGACTTTACAAGCTGCACGCAGTTCTGTTTTCATTTCAAACAAGTCAAGGAACTCTCTCAATAATTCCTTGTTTTCATTTTCATTCTGTGTTTTATTTGAATTAGATATAGCTATAAACTCATTCTTTACGAAAATGGTAACTTATTGCGCAACTTATATAAAAAATTTGAGTCAAAGCTTTGTGTTTCGGAAAAATGGAAAATGATAGTAATTCAAATAATTTTTGATTTATTCAGATTTATTGCTAATTCTCATGTAAAAAATTTCCTTTGTTTAGATAGATAAAGGAAACTGATTTGGGTTATGCCTTTTTGCAATAAGTTTTAAATTTTTTCTTTGAATTATCTTTATCTTATGTTTTATTGTCATTGATCGTAACTCATAAATCTGAAAATACAACTCTTATGGTAAACAGTGACTTAATAAAAACGAATTATTTATTATGATGCAACTACAATATCCGTTATATGTAACGAATGCATCTGTATTTTGATGACGCAAGTTATCACATTATGCTTTTACGATGTTATTTTATTTTACTTCTTTAAGGTGCTTTAAGGCTTCAATTCACTAGATGTGATAGAAAGAAAATAACTTTAAAATCTGAATTGACTTCTTAGAATTTAATAAACTTTTGCTGCCTACCAAGTCAGCAAGACCATCTAACGAGCCAATTATATGCAATTAAAATCAATCAAATATGCTAATCTTAATTTATTGTTATTAATAAAAATATAAATTGAATTAAAAAAGCAGAAAAGTTGCATACTTACCAAGTCTTATTCTAACTGATAATTCGATTAATTACAATTGATTACATTTTATATGGATAATATTAAAAGTATTTTTATAATTACTCCGTTACTTTTTAATAGAAATTTAATTTCTAATTTCTGCTTCTTATTTTGTTTTTAAAACTTTTTACATCATCATCATCATCATTAAAGTCATTTTTTGATACCAGTTCCATGTAATTGAAGATTCAAGACAATTTTACTTCTCCAAATCCAAAAAGCTCGTTCATGGCTTCTTATGTGATTTTAAGACATTCAGGCATTTCATATTCCAAAATTTCTTATATAATGCATATTATATTTGCTTCATTTATGTAGTGATAAAGAACGTAAAATTTTATGGTTATTTAATATACAATAAAATTGGTCTCAATACTTTAGGTCATCACAAAGATTTATGATTTTTGCCGAAAATGATAAATGCTATTGCAAAAAAATTTGCATGTGGGTTTATATAAATAGTTGTTTCTAGTAACATGAAAAAATTATCGGTTTTTTCTTTTCGATATCATTATAATAAATATTTCAATGTGCACTCTAAAGATCGAATCTTAATTAAGGTATGACAAACTCAGATTATCTCAAAAACTGAGTTAAAAATATCTTACGACACACGAAAAGATTAATCAAGTTGAAAAGTTTCAAATCAACAAATGTCAGCTCATTGATTACAGCCACAATTTCCGATTTGATATTTTTTGACATGTGTTCAATATTATCAGTAACTTTTATAACGATTTGTGCAGTGATTTTTATGTTGTCCTTTTATTTTGATTTTTCAAATAAGAATATTAAAACTTATGTAAGAACAGTTTATTAATTAAGCTTAAGCTTGTTTACATTAATCATTTAACTGTCACAAAATTTTAGACCCCACCTAAAAGCCTTACGTAATAAATTGTCAATCTCATAAAACTTTATTTCGTTCAATAAAATTTAAATTAAAAGTTTAATACTTTTAATAAGTTTGTTAACATTTTTTGTAAAAATTGAGTGCTGTAGACATCCAATAAAATTAGAAGAAAAAAACCAGCATCGTTATTTTGAGACTTTTATTGATATAAAAAAAAATAAGAAAATGAGAATTAACAAATCCATGCTCAAAATAAAAGAGAAGATTTAAATTCACAAACTTGCTATGCTTGCTATTGTAGAATGTGAAAATATCATGATAACTTATACAGAATGGCAAGACTGAATGAATTTCCAATCATTTCTTATACTTAAACTAAGGTTAAAAAACTTTACAGAAGTAAATTGAGAATTGAAAACCCAATTTCAGAATCTAGTTAAGGAAATGATTTAATGCAGAGAGAGAACACAATAACAAATTTCGAGGAAAGAACTTACTGTTTTTTTTTTCTAATGAACCTGCTAACTTTCGCAAAGAAAATAAACAAAATTAAAAAAAAATCACACGTTTTAATAAAGAAAATAGAAGAATTAAATTTTTGTACACAGTGACTGATTGACAGGCGTACAAACTGAAGAGGAAAAAAGCTCCTCAACAAGAATTTCAATTTCAATAATGTAAGAAAAATTAAATGAATGTGAATATAATCGATTCAATAGAAAAAGGAAAAAAATAATAACAACAAAACTAATAAGAGAACAAGAGATATGCTTCGATAAGCATAAAAAAGTTTCTCATTTTCCATTGCCTTTTTATACTGTCAATATAAAAAAAAAAATTTAAACTTCAACAAATTGTATGCGAGCGTTAGATGCGACGATTTCGATTATAAATGAAAAAATAAATCATGAAAACAGCAGTTTTCGAGTGTAACGTAACTTCAGTCTGTGACAATCATATCGATGACGTCAATCGAAGTTTTTTTTTATAACGAAATCGTGAAAATTTAGAGCATGAGAGTAGATATGAGAGAAAAAATCTCTCAGAGAAAAATTTTCTTTGGAAATTGAGAAAATGTCTTATAAGCACGCTGTTATATGCCATTTACTTCTAAAAATAGAAACTCAAACCTCCCCAAAAATATATGTGTTCTAAATGAAAATGAGATTCCTTTTGTCATTTTCTTTTGTTTAGCTTTGTTTTTGTTGTTGCTTTTGCCTCTGTTCGTGTCATAGTTGGATTTCGTGATTGCCTCATTTTGTTGTTTTTTTCTTCCTCACTTCAACTTGTTGTTGTATATAATTGCAAAAAAGGCATTAAATAATGTGGGACATGAAACGAAATGGCAAATTAAAGTTGTTATATTGCGGTTTTAATATGAGGATGGGTATGGAAAAAATGTCGTCTTCGAAAAGAATGGAAAAAGGAAATGTGTGAATAAATTAATTTATTGTGTTAAACAATCATGGCAAATATTATGTTGCCATGTAACATTTTTTGAGTCAACAAGGTACACTCTAATAATTTAAGTTTCTTCTTCATGTCAACAGAACTCATAATTTGATAATTGCAGGTATTAACGATGCTTTAATTAATTTTTCCCTTATGAATTAATTTCCCCTATTAAATTCATTCATAAACTTTCAACAAACATATTATTGGAATTCATGGAAAAGGAATAAAAATATGACATCTTATGCAATATGTAACATAATCAAATTTATTGAGAGTTTTGCGACCCAAAATACTTTCATTGTTGGTTGTATCAAATATTTTCTTTTCTTATCACTGATTTTTGTATATCAATGAATATGTTTGCATTAAAAATAGATAGCTTCTGTTGAATACATAATATTTTTAAAATAGCTTGATCAAGTATTTAAAACGTGGAAAATTATGCCAATAATTGAAATCACTGCATTGATTTGTATTCTGACGGATGAATTAATTAATACAACTCCAATGTTGCCTTTTACATTGACATTTTTTACATCAATTAAATCGCTAAAAATATTCATTCACTTTAAATATGAACCACATAAAATTTATAAATAGATAATGCTTACCCATCTTTAAATCCAGACTCTAAAGATGACGTGTAAACTTTCAAGTGGGATGTAATGTTGCTATAAATTTCTGATAAATTCACAATCTCATCTGTTGTGCCGAAATTTAAAATTATAATGGCAAATTCATTTCCATTTTGCCTTTTATAAGAATAAATATTTCCATTATTTAAGATGTGGCCATCATAAGTTCCATTTTTAAAACGTGCTTCTTTCCTAATTTTTGTAAGTTTACGAAAGATTTTTAAATGACTGTTGATGGCTTCTTCTTGTGCTTTCACATTTACTGTTTTATATTTCTCACCAACAGGCAACCATGTTTTGTTGCCAGTAGAAAATCCAGCATTTTTCGTATCATCCCATGGAAATGGAGTTCGAACAGGATCGCGTGATCGAATATCTAGTTCTTCTTTTGGAGAATTGCATGCAAGCGGATCAATTGTGTCCTCCCAAGATATTGGAACATTTTCCATCACAAGTTCTTCACCTTGATATGTAATCGCTGCTCCAGGAAGAGTTTGTAATAAAATATTAAATAAATCACCTTTCTCAACACCAAGTCTTGTTGCAATTCTGCTCCTATCATGATTTCCAAGCACCCAATTTGCCATGTGACCCTTAGGCATTTTATTGAGCCATTCTTCAATCATTATTTTGTAATCTGTAGCACTGCTGTTTTTAGTGAGCTTTAGAAGTAAATCAAAATTAAATGGGAAATGCGCTCCTTCCATTGTCGAGTTACCATAGTACTTCATATTTAAATCAATTGGAGCTGCTGATTCAACCATTAAAATTTTTCTTTCCACATTGTTGACTTTTGAATAATCATCAACAAGTTTTCTCCATTGATAGACCATATCATACGTTTCAGGTTGATCTTCTGTATAAATATTCTTTAAATAACAATGATCGTGTGCATCACAATCTGTATTATAAGAACGTGGTTCATCTAGAAAGCTACCATCGGCTTCAACTTTCTCAAAAAGTGAAGGTATTGAGTCAATTCTAAATCCTGAAACACCCTTTTCTAACCAATAAGTTAAAATTGCTTTCATTTCTGTTACAACCTGTGGATTTCTATAATTAAGATCTGGCTGTTTATCTTGAAACAAATGATAATACATTTGTTGTCGTATCTCTGACCATCTCCATGCACTATAACGAAAAACTGAAAGCCAATTCGTTGGTGGCACTGGAGTATTTGAAACTTCATCAATTTTTGGATTTCTCCAAATGTAAAAGTCTTCAAAGCCACTCTCGTTTCTCTCTGACTTCTTAAACCACTCGTGTTCATGTGAAGAATGATTTGGCACAAAATCAAGAATCAAATGAAGACCAATTCGTTTGCATTCAGCAACTATATCATCAAAATCACTTAATGTTCCATATTCACTATGTATATCTCGATAGTCAGATATGTCGTACCCAAAATCATACATTGGAGATTTCATTATGGGACTCAACCAAACTCCATCAATACCAAGATATTTCACGTATTGTAACTTTGATTTTATTCCTTTTAAATCGCCAATTCCATCACCATCGCTGTCTTTAAATGAGCGAGGGTAAATTTGATAAAAATTACCATTATCAAACCAATCTGCTAGCGTTAAAGTAGCAAGTGAACTAAGCACAAACAAAACTTTAATGATTTTATTACTGTGATGCATTTCAATTAGACTGACTGTAAGTTCAGCTTGCAATTCTAATTTATATTTCTATTCTTATCATAAAATCAATAACAACTCTAGTGCTTTGTAAATATATTTGTTAACATTCAACATCGCTCATTCTTATTTAATGTGTGTGAAAATTTTCTACCTGAATGTGCTGCTCATTGCTAATTGATTGTGGTGATATTTGAATACTTTACCTTAGTTGTGTGATTTCTATTATAAGTATTTCGGACGTAATGTTTATAAAATATTGATTCCTAATGACATTGATTTGCTTTGGACTTATATACTTATTTGTAAATACTCTTTTGTAACTAAAAATTGGTTTAGCCATTTTACTTTAATACAAAAATCAAAACGCCGCAGTTAATAAATAATTGCCTCATAAAGTATTTATAACTTTTTATTAAAGACTTCGCTCACTGAAGGGTGTTCTTAATTGACATAAATCTTAATCCACTTCATATAAATATGGATAAATATAATGACTTCATGTTGCTACGAAATAATTAAACTTATCATCAGAAGTTATATTTGGACATTCAAGCCAAATATCTGAACAACTCTCTGTAGTTCTTAATAAAAATTTGCTCGTACATATGCGCATATTAAAGCCAAAAACATTTTTTTTTGTCATATAACAGAAATCAAAGGACATTCAAGTCATAAGAGAAGAAAAAAAGTCCATAAATATAATTTTCCTTCTTTCATTCATGCAGAATAATAGAATAGCAACAGCAGAGATTGTTAACATATACAATATTAAAAATGGCATTAGTAATGCTGCCTTGTGAATTGCCATGGTGGTCAGTCGTAGTGCGAAAAATTTCAACCATCGAAAACACAAACGAAATAGACAAGATTTTAGAAGTCATGCAAAAAATTCATGATTTATGCAAGTGAGTAGCTTCTGTTCTTTTTGTTGCAACTTTAGGGGAATGATTCCGTTTTTCATTACATAAACGCGCATATAGCATAAGTTTGGATCCAGAGGAAGATTATACAGACAGCACAGTATTCGATGGACTACGTATATTTATAGAACAAGACATGGACGAGACAGAACGTGATAAATTTCTCAGCAAAACACTTAAATGCATCTGTCGATTTGCAAAAAATTTGAAACTTTATCGACCGCCACGTGGAATGAATTTTAGTCTTCAACAAAATGCCGATTCTGTTGAATTTGATGTTAAATTTATTGCATGGTAATTTTTTATGCGATTTATTTCAGTTGAAATTTTGCGTATGTCATTCTGTCTTTTTTATATTTATAGCCTTATGGCCAATTCATTCTTTTCCACATATCCTAAGCGTACTAACAAGACACATCCAACATTGAAAGACTTTAATTTTACGCATTTCTTCAAAGAATTAAATACGTAAGTGTTTAAATAAAATTATTAATGATAAAAGCTTAAAAGTAAACCGTTCTTCCTATATCTTCTAGAAATTCACAAAAGGCAAAGTTTAGAAGCTTTTTATGGTATTTTGAATGGCTTGAACAGCAACCACCTGAGGAGCTTGATAGAAAGGTCAAGTTGTCAAGAAAGGTGAGTAATCGTGAATAAATGTGCTGTGTCAGATTTTTTTCAACTACGAAAAATGAACTGTTTAAGTGTCATTAAGCTAAAGCTGCAGATCCCAAAATGACAATCGAGTTTATATTCAATTTATTTTTAGGTGATGTCAGGTAGACATTGGCTTACAATTGAAGACTGGTTAGAATGTAAACTTCCATTATGTCCCGTGGACATAAAACATGATTCACGATTAGAAAATTCACCCACAACTGTTGCACAAGTTATATTTTCACAACCAGCAATTGCTTCGTCAGTTCTAATTAAAGGAGCAAATCAGGAATCAACTCAAACAATAACACATCCAGAATTGCTTATAATATTGCTCTTTGTAGAAAAACTAGAAGATAATGAAATATTTCTAATAGAGAGTGTGATGCAAGTCTCTCGGATAATTGATCCGAAAGGCAAGGCAATGCTCGAAAAACTTCAACCAGCAAAGCTCAAATCATCAATGATATGTATGGATGCTGAATCATATAAATCTTTTCCAATTAGTCAATTCGAAGAAGACAATACTTTACGTGAGCTCAATAAGTGTCTTTTAGCATTTCGGCAAAACACATGTGCACCAATGTCATCAAAATTACTTAAAATTTTAAGCAATCACAGCCTCAGCAGTCGTGATCAAAGAGGAAGATTATCACCGATAGGTGAGAGTTTTAATACGAGTGGTAGAAGTAGTCTTGATTGTGCCACAAAAATTTATATTGAACAAAATTCACCAACGTCATCTCCAGCAACATTCAGCTCACGAACGGAATCTAGAACAGAAGATGATGATGAAATTGACAAAAGAAGAAACTGGCTGAATTTGCCCGAGAATAAAGGTCGAATTCAAAATAGCACGGAACTTTCAAGTGAAGAAAAGCGTCGAGGTCGTTTTATTGTCCTTGGATCGTCTGGTGAGTGTCTTCCTGTTAATCGACAAATATCAAAAGATAAAGCTGCCAGTTTCTTTGCAAATGGAAGTGATGGGGAGGATACTGATGAAGATGAAACATTCTATAGTGCTAGAAATTCATTAAATGCTGAAGATGATGAGGAGGATGAATTTTTCGATCATCAACGTTATTCGATAGAACTTGAAACGCCTGAAAATCGATTTAGGTTTGCAAAACAATTAAAGGATGCTTTAAAACTGGAAAATGGATACACTGAAAGTACAGAAGATTGTTCAATTGATGAAGATGAATTTGATGACAGTTATGCTGTTGATATTAATATTGAAGGTTCACGAATGAACGACGAAAAAATTAAAATAAGACGTGGTACTAGTACAGGCTTTATATTAGAAGAAGATTCGTCTCTTGACGATTATCAAATGTTGGCTCGAATGGACACAAGAAAAGGCAAAATGAAAAGAAATAAAACTGGCGACTCATCAAAATACAGCTTTGATACTGAAGAGTCTGAAGTAGAAGAAATTTACGATCAGCTTTCCAAATGGTTAAATGATCCGCTCGACAGTCGTGACAGAAAACTAGATTCCCGTGATAAGGCCGTTCTCAAATTTGCTGACTCATTACTGAAGCGAGCATTATCCGAGAGTTTTGTTGACGATACAACTTTAGATGATTTGACGACAGATTCTGAGGAATTTGGCAATCTATCCGTTCAGCAGAAAAGAAAAATGGTCAAAAACTTTCGCTCATTATCCTTGGAGGTTGCAAAATATAAGAATCAATTATCTTCATCGTTGGTAAGTCTTGAGCTTTTAATATTCTCATAAAATTCAAACATATTGCGAATGATTGAGTGGCCCATAACATTTTTTAAGTATAGATTCAAATAATTTTTTAGACGTTTTCATTATCTTTGGTTCTCAAATTTGTTTGATCATAGCTGAATTTCTTATGATTTGATTGATATATTATTTGACAGAAATAGATAGTCCATCTTATTTTTATTAAAAGTGGTAGTAGATTTAGTTTCAACTTTTGTTGCTTCTAGATATTATTTAGATCTAGCTACTAATTTTAAGAAGCATCGTAAAATATTTTGTGAATCTTTTGAAATACCATAAATATATATTTGTTTCCTTTTTTGGTAGTAAAGTTTCTGTATTCATTAAAATGAACACAACCTTCTTGATAAGAAGATGGCTTCAAAACATTTATAAATATTTTTAGATCCATTTTAGCACCCTTTTCCTTATTCACGCTGCTGCACATTTATTTATATTTTCTTTTGATGATCTGAAACTTCATTGTCTGGTATTTTTAAAGAAATGGTTTCATATTAAGTCTTCCTTTTATTTTTCCGCACAGAAAGTATTTTTAGAAACAATGAATTTATGTATTATGTATTTTATTTTTGAACTTCTCTTTCCAATGCATTGTAAGCTCCAAGTATTTGATTCCTTTTACTCAAATTTTTTTAAATTATTTGTCTTAATATTTTGGAGCAAACATAAATGTTTACAGGTGTATACAGTTAAAAAAATCTATGAATGATGTTTTTTTTTATTATATCTGTAAATTAGGAAGTGATAGCTTGCGAAAACTTATGACATCAAACATTGTTTTATGATTTATTTCATTTTATTTTCATTTCTTCTTTTTTATTTCATAAAACTTTTTTTTTTATACATTATAACTTTGCGAACGCTTCTACTGCCAAAAATGCCTTCACAATTAAAAAAATAAAAAAAATAAAAATGTACATACAGAAACCATTGCATGAGCATGATGATTCTCCAGAGGATTTTAAAAAGTTTGTAAAGCAAAAGGTGACAGAACGAGACATTTTAAAGAAACAGCAAAAGGAAAAGTCTAACAAATGGTCCATTACGACTACAACAATGGAAGAAAGTATCAATTGTGATGTAACAATAAAGGTAGCGAGAATTTTTTATGCATGAATAAGTTCATTCTGTGTGTCGTTTACATATCAAAAACAAAAAAATCATTCATATATCAATTTGGTCTTTCTAGTTTTATATTTCATGTGTGATTGTGCTGTGTGGGAACCTCTTTATATATTCAAAGCATATCCTTGTTTGCTTATTTTTTTTTTGGAACATCAATCAAGAATTACAATAACAAATTCGTTTCGATTTCTTTGTAGCTGAATCAGAGAAAATTTCACCATAATAGTAATTTAAGAACAGTTGCGACTGGATCATGGGGATGTGGTGAAAGTCACATGGGTGATGCACAATATAAAGCTATTATTCAATGGTTGTCAGCAAGTGTCGCAAATGTGCCAATTCTGATTTATTATACATGCTCGAATGAAAATTTAAGTAAATTGGATACCGTAGTGAGAGTTTTGCAAGGTGATTTGAAAGACATTTGAAAGAAATTCCTATAATTTATTGTTTTCCAATTAAAGATCGTAAATGGACAGTAGGAGAGCTTCTTCGTCATACACTTTTCTATGCCCGGGATATTCTCAATAATCCCACCGCCAATCATAGCAAAAACTTTTGTTTGTTCGACAAGCTCATTGGTTTAGAAAGAAGTAACTGATGAGTAACAGACATTAATGTGAATTGGACAACTTGCAATAAATGCTCGTGCTCAAAATTTATCAGAAGAATTGAAATCATCTCAAAGGTTAAAAGTTCATAAATAAAATCCTTTTGGATGGAAATCAGTCAACGTTTTAAAGACATATAAATATTTTCTACACAAAATTAATCAATTAAATGTTTTTAATAATTTATACAAAAGAAACTAGTGAGATCAATAAATTGTCTTCCAAATTGACAAGGAGATAAGAAATAAAGTAATGAATTTTTTCATCAAATAGATTTTTAAATATTAAAAAAAAATTGTTTATTAATTTCTTTTTAATTTTCTCAATATTTCAGTCATAACCTAAAGTTTCAAATATTAAAAAGGCTTTCTATTTAAAAATTTTATTTTTAAAATAAATCATAATTAAATTCCAAATTCATGTAACGGTTTTTAAAAATTCAATTTTAAGTTCAGCTTTCAATAATTATTCAATTATTACAGCACTTAGGCAAAATTTTTAGAAAAGTGTATGTAATTTTTTAATATCCTTGATAATTGTTTAAAGTTTAATTTTAATTAAACAAATTAATACTTTTCAATGGTTGCAAAAGCTTGCCAACCGATTTTTACAGTAGAGCTTGTATTTCATACAAATTAAATCTCACAGATTCTCAAACCTTTGAACCGGTTCAACGATGTTTATAGAAAGACAAAACAAACACAATCTCACTCGTATGTGCAATAGGAAATAACAAAAACAAAAAATAAATTTCTCTGTGTGTAAGATTCTCTCTCAAAAAATTGAAATGTTTTTATTCTCATTCTCGCAAAGATATTCGTACGAGGTACTTGTGTATTGAAGTACATTTTGAACGAAAAAAGAACTTTATATGTAATGAAATACAATTTTCTCGAATTTAAAGTAAAGAAACGATAAAATAATTAAAGTTTTAAATTTAAAATTTGCAATAAACCTTACCAAATCATTGATAAAGTCAAAATTCTGTGGAGCCATTAAAATATTGAGCAAGGAATGATTTCATATTTTTAAAGACGCAATATTCCAGAGAACAAAAATTAAGAAGAAGAATTTTTTTCGGTGTATTTCATTTTGCGGAAATTAAAGTGAAAAATTTTTATGCTTATGAATTTTTTTTCCTATTTCAGTGAAAAATTATGGAATGTGAAATGTGATTAGAATTTAATATCATAGCTTAACAACAACAATTGCTTTTAAATATAAATGTTGGTAGAAGGAAATCATTAATCACTCTCGGTATAAAATTATAGAGAAATTAAATTAAAATTTTGCTTGCTTCATAATCATTCTTATTGTTGAAAATCAAAGCATTTGAGTGAATTTTTGGGCATAGATAACATCAAACTAAGTGAATTACAAGAAAATTTGTAGTTTGAAAAAAAAATCGATAAAAGATCTAGAAAGTTCTATTTACCTATAAAAAGGAAACGAAATTTACAGCAGATAATAAAAAATAGTTTTGCATAATAACAGAGAGTTCCAACAAACCAGGTTAAATAATCATTTTAACTCTAAACCCTAAAATAATAATCATAAAAAAATTCAAGCAACAAAACAGACACCACCAAGTGTAAACGCTAAAAAAAAGGATTGATTTTTTTTTATTTATCAATTTTTTACCAGTAAATCAAACAGGATTTAACGGCACAAAGTTCTGGTAAGTCTCAAAAATCCAATAAAACTCAAAAAATGTTGAAAAAAAAAATAATTTCAATGTAGAAACAACAACAATTTTTTTCTCTTCTTCTTTTCAAATTTATGTTTCATTTTGCCGTCGCTAAATCGACTTTTCGATGCTTGTCGTATTGTAATTCCATTATATTCGGAAATATAAAAAGTGCAGTTGAACTCGTTTTATAGTCGAATGTGTTCAATTTTATCATCCCAAAAAATAACAATAAATGTGTACACATACAATTTTTTTAATTATTTAATTGGACACATTTATGTTATGAACTGGAAATTTTGCTGGCTTCGTTGTTGTTGTTGTTGGAGTAATTTTATCCAGAGCTTGTTTTATTTTATGAAGAGGATGCTTGCAGATGAATTGTTTCATATATAGATTTGGGAATTGTGTTAATTGGTATGAGTTGTGTTATTTTTAAACCATTTTAGAACTTTTTTAGTTCAGCTAATGGAAGGATAATTTATTGGTGGATGGATATCCCCCCACTCTCCCAATTTTATATCATGAAATACACAACTATTTCATTTTTTGATTGTTGGGTGAAATCCAAAAATAGAACAAGACAAAATATTTTAGTCATTGGTTTGGGTAAGCAATCAAGTCTGGGAAAAAAACTTTTCCGGCTTTTGAATAACAGAAATTTATTAAAAAACAAAGAAGAATTATTGGCATATTTTGTGGATATACATAGATTGATATTTAAAGATATACTCCTTCCATCTCCTAGTGATGGATTTTTTTTGACATTTCTCTTTAAAAAAATATTGAAGGAAATTTTCAAACAATTTTTACTAAAAGATAAAGAAAATAATTATAAGCTTGCAATCATCTCTGAATATTTTTTTTTTTGATAGAAATCCTATAAAAAATATATATACGATAATGTTCAAGGCAAACGCAGGTCAATGAACTTTGTCATTTGGAAAAAGTTTGTTCGGTTTTTAAGCATTTTGTAACCAAAAGTAATCATGAAAGTTCTTTAAAAATTCACATTTAAATGAAGTAAGTCACGTAAGCAGAAGTAACAAAATAACCAGTTAATTTTTGTTCCTGTGTCATACTTTCATAATTTTTATAAATGATTATCTGGGAAAAAAAGTTTATGGATTTTCTTATCGATGAAATTACAAAACGTAACTTAAAATCATTAGGATTATTGAACAAACAATTTTGTTCAAATTAGGATCCAGAATGAATTTTCTTAAACTATCTGCCGACGGCGCATATATAAACCTTACATTTTAGAAAAGTTTCAGGAAATTTCCATTTTTTTTTTTTATTTGTTTTTACTGGTTTTGTTAAATTTAAAATAAACTTTGCTGTTCGACTCATAAAGCAGCGTGTTTTATCTGCTTTTTATGCAAGACCTTAGTGTTTAAATTATAAATCAACAATTGTTTGTGGAAATCAAACTATTTCTGTGCTTAACATGTTCATGGTTGCACATAAACAATTTTTCTCAGCTTAAAGAAAAACTCCAAACTTGTAACTTAGAAATTTTTTAAAGGTCAATGATTTTAAATTCTAATTTTTAAAATTCCAAGCAACGTTCCTCAATCAGCATTTCATTGTTCAATTAAAAAATGCTATCACACTTATGTACACATTTTCTTTTGCCTTAATTATCATCTCAATTTAATGTTTTTGTAGTTTTGACTTGTCCCTCATTTCATTTATTTATGGATGTAAAAATTTTCCTTTCATATGTTCCGACAATTTTATTTGCTTTCTGCTTCTCGAGCTAGCAAGAACCAGCACATTTATATAGATATCTCTGTACTTATATACACACTTTTTATTGATAATAAAAAAAATTCATTTTGACAATAATTGAATTTTTTTTCGGCAAATTTTAAAGAGGCAAAAAGAGAAAAAGAAATTTTGTGGATTGATTCCCTCTCTGTCGCTTAATTGACAGACGAATTGAATTGAATGAATATATGTATAAAACTTTTAATACACATATATTAGAGAGCTACTGCTACAGATTTTTTTTATATCAATAATATAAAATTGAAATAAAATTGAGAGACTGAAAAAGGAGTTTAAAAACTTTTTTTGTTTTGATGGGGGAGAGGAAGTGATGGAAGGAAGATGGAGATAGACACATAGAAAATGTGGGATCGATAATGTCGTAAATGTAGAAAGTTTAAATGAAATATTCATACAGTTTATCGGTAGGTGAGCGCGATGTATTACCGCACATATATATTACTCTTGAGTATGTATAAAGAATAATTTTGTGTGCCTTAAAAGAACCAAAAAAACTTTTTTGTCTTCCAAGTCGTCATCAGACACACGACAAAGTTATTTGAATTACTTGCACAGAACATAAAAAACTTTTCTCCCAACTTAATGCTCCTCCTTTTCCATTCTAAAGTGAATAAATTTTCAGTAGACAAATTTTGAGTGACATTTCATGGGCGAGAATTTCTTTTCCTCTTTATGTTTGCTTCCACCAGCAATTCAGTCGTTCTAGGAGAAACAAGAAGAGCTTAGGAAAAAAGTATTGCAATGCGAAATTAAATTTTTTCCTCATTCTATCTTGCTCGGCATGAGAGATTATTATTATTTGTGAAGATGGAAGCGATTTTTATTTTCATTTTCAAGGGTTTTTTGCGCCTCCGGAACTCATCGACAAAAAAAGTTTTTCTTATACATTTTTTTCATTATAAAAAGGGATGGAAAACGGAAAGTTTCTCATATACCCACACATACTTCCAAATGTTATGTCTTTTTAAGACTTCTTTCTCTTGAAAATGCAAGTCCCAATGGATCAGAGGAAGGAAAAGAAAGGAAAAGTTGATCAAAAAGTAACTTATCTTCTTAGACTTCTTCTTTTTCAGAATATAAACATTATCCTGCAGCAACTTACGGATACACGTCTGATTTTTTTTCTTATTTGATGATATTTAATTATGGAATGGTTAATGCTGCAGGATACTTAAAAGGAACAAAAAAATATTCAAAATAAAAATCTTGGACAAAATAGTGAACTTTAAATTGACGTTCATAAATAAAAAGGCATTATGATTATTATCACATCTGATCAACAGAGGCATTTTATTCCACAAAATCACAACGAATTATTTCACGATTGTCGTTAGGCTTGTGAATCTTTGCAAGTTCTGTAAGAGCCACACAGCACATGAAAAAAAAAACTGATTTAACATTTTTATCGGTTGTGGCAGAAAAACCTGTTTGTGCTTCTTTGATGCTGTATATTATATTCTCAAATTGTTGTTGTAAGTCTTGTGCAGCTTTCTTGAACTTTTTGTCTCATTTTGCCTTTACTGCTTCAACATCTTTCAAGCTGAGAGTTTATTTTTGAATTTTTGTTCTCTTAAGTTTTTTTTTTCCTATTCCATATTTCCATCCGTTGATTTTGGATAAGGTCGCGAGTATTTTTAATGCAAAC